ACTAACTTGTACAATAACTAAGTTAGAACTCTCAAATTTTCTTGCACACACAGCCAGTAATACAAATAGCAAACCCAATTTTTTTCAAGGTAGTCAGACAGATATAAATAGAAAATTTATTCACATAAAAATGAGCCAAAGCACAATTTTACCGAAGTACGAAAAGGGAGACAAAAAGTTAATTTACAGTCATTTTTAAAAAATCATAGAAAATCAACTAATTAAGCCACATTAATAATATAAATGTTCTAAGAAAGGAAATTCAAACCATGTTAATATAAAATAAGCAGGTAAAGAATTAATAAAGAAAGTAATTAGCGAGACCAGATTTAGCAAGGTCAGTTTATAAAAATTAGAAATTTCATCCTTTTTCAAAAAATTATTAAAAAATATGTAAGTAAGGTATCTTAATAAATTTTACACAAACTTAAAGCACATGATGTTCTTAATATATAATAAACACAGAGACATAAAATAATCATTCTGCAAAACAATACAAGGCATCCTTCCTTAACGCCCAAAATCAAGAATTTTCACTACCTAACATTTTGCAAAAAGTGTTCTTACTTTTAAGAAATTAATATAAATTGTGTAGGAAACATGTTAGCATTACTTTGTTATAAAAAAACTAAATAACTATACTACTACTTTACTTATATACTATAATAAGAAATTCCATGCATTTTAAAAACTGACGAAGTAAGATAACTAATTAAACTGAAATTCTTTTTAAATTACCCTAATAGAGTTGTGATGTTCACCTAGTTTTGTTACTCTGGTTCCTAATCATGACTTGTTTAGCATAAATTTACTTGTTACTAGTATATTTATTTCTTCTAGTTAGTTATTGATCAAAGTCAACTTCTGGAAATGTCTAGGTCCTAACTTATACAATTATCAGAAATCTTAGAGCAGGTTCAAAAAGACAGGTCAATATCCTGATTGGGAAAGTTCTCTATGAGGTTGGGTAGCATTGTAATTAATAGTCAATATCCTGGTTGAGTTTGTCTTCTTCAAGGTTACAGATCAAATTATGGAATCCAGTAAGAGTAAGGGATCCTTCCATTGGTCCAGAGTATAGAAAATGTCTGTGAATAAAAACAATTAATTAGCATTTCAAATATACTGACTTATATATAGCAGGCCTGTATATCTTTATACCAACTTAGATATCAATCATGTAACATTACATCATTATAAATAATAAGCAAAGTGCATACAATACTAACATTTGACATATGGTTTCCTTCAAAAGTATTCAGGAGTCCTGTTGTTGCTTTCACAACAATACAAAATTTTTGGTAGGCCAATGAGTTTCCCCTTTCTTTTATGCTAATATCTTGCTCTGTAAATAGAATAATAATAATATTAAAAGTAAGGCTGCTCAATGCTTTTTAGATATTAAATGTAAGCACTATAGATAGTTCTACTACTAGATCTAAATATTAACATGAAAGCAATAGTGAATCTAACTAATGTTAAGTAGATCTAGACTAAATCTAGAAACAACTTTGGACTAAACTATTATGGAAGGGGGGCTACATTTTATTTTAAGTCGTCTTTACAATAAATCTAGAGATAAAAAAATGTAAAAGATCGTAATATTCTAAATTTAATGTAACTACTGCACATATATAGAATAATTAACTATTAAACTAGGAAAGACAGAAAAAACCAATGCTACAATAAATTGAAAGTATGCTGTTAACCGCTGCGGTAATATAATAGTTGAACCCAACACTACGAGAAAGTAAAAAAAAACATGGCGGACAATCGGCTTGAAATATCGACAAAATATTGATAGTTTAATAGGCCGATGTTATTAACTAACATAATTTACTAAAACAAATTAAATTCTATCATCCTTTTAAACATCTTTTTGATTTAATTGTGCATTCCTTTTTTATTTCAGTGACCATAAATTAAATACAACTGACTTTTAAAACAGGCTAGATAATTTTTTGGGAAAAATTTTTTTAAGCGTGGAACGGTGGAGCAATTACCGATAAGCGGACACTAATATTCAAATGTATTAAAGCAGCAGTTAATCATAAATAAATAGAATATAGCTAGTAATATAATGTGCATTCAACTTACCTGCACGTGTTTTTAAATCCACTGTAATCAACGAATAAACACAAAATCTTGCTCTGAACCGATGTCGGGTGTTCCGGAATTCAACAAAATCTTGACTCAAGCCGGCGAAATTTAGATGCGGGTCGTCGCGATTTGTATACATTGGTTTCATTTACTGCGGTCCGACCCCATACATGGAGTGTTCATTAAATCGTAACAGTTTTATGGCAAATTGGATGCCCTTTCGGAATATATAACTTTGGCGGCTGTAAAATTATTTTTTCATGGAAAAAAATCATTTTAAAATTTTAAATTGAACATTTTTAGCATTTAATTATATTATACAGCTGGTAAAGTTATACCATCTTAAAGAGCTACCACTCTTCTTTCTAAATCAGTGGTTTCTAATTGCGTATGTGTTATGGGGTCGGACCGCCGCGCGATGCCGCAACGCGACCAAAAAATTTTAAAACCGGCTTAAATTTTTCGGCTCATTTAGAATACCTAATATGAGGTCCATATTAGTAATGATGATTTACAATTTTTATAGCCTACTCACTTAAGTCTAAGGATTATGTATGTGTAAATTGTACACTAACATGGGCATTCATTTTAAAACATCTCTATTCAAATTAATACAATAACTTTGATAAAAAAAAAATAGCTTTATTTACAATCTTCTATTTCATACTTCTACCCTTTACTAGAGATTGGACCTAAACGAAATAACATGATTTATAATATCATTCAAAATTTTAAATGCCCTTAGGGGTCGTCCATAAATGACGTCACACTCGTATGGGGGAAGGGGTCCATAATTTTGTGACAGTGTGTGATGAGGGGGAGGGGGGGGTTAAAATGGCGTGACGTCATACTTTTGCATTACAAAAAAAAGCAGTGTTGGAAAACGAGTTTTAAGCCGTTATTTCGTGTTTTAGAAAACTGTTTTGATAAATTGTAATAGGAATTAATTAAAATACTCTGTGTTGACAAAGTTCAGACAAGATTTTGGAAAATATATCGATGTTTTAAGAGCAATTCAACTGCAATTTTGAGGGGGGGGGGGGGTTTGTAAGCTGAGGTGTGACGTCATTTTAGGGGTGGGGTCTGGCTTTTTGTGACGATGTGTGACGGAGGGGAGGTGGAAGGCAAAAATCGTCCAAAAAAGCGTGACGTCAGTTATGGATGACCCCTTAAAACAATTACAATATAGATCTAGAATAATTGTGAATCTGGTAGTTTTTTGTTTAAAACATAATCCCTTATTTATTGCTGAAACAATCTTACTTTTCTAAATAAAGGAGTTATCTAAACTAATGATAATTAGAGGGAAATTGAGGAAAGTAACTTTTCTGCTTCTCTTAATTATTATTTAAATAACACATATCTAATAAAGAATGACAGCTAAAAAAAAGGAATTTAGGATCATGTCCAGATAAGCCCCGCCACTAATGAAAAAGTGCTTTTTCGTTAGTGCTCGCCACTAATGAAAAAAACTCATGGCAAGTCCCACCACTAGTCCAATTTATGCACGCACGCAACCTTGACCAATTTCTGATGTCTAGACATTGCGCACATCATTAAAAAAACAACCCATCCGCCGTTAGGGTTGGGTTAAATGGTGTTTTATTTATTTATTATTTTTGTTGGGTGCCGGGGGGGTTAATTTTCTTGCGGGGCTAGATCCGAAACGAATCTGTCGAGCACAAAATGAGCTAAATCATTCTTTACACTCGATTATTTCGGACCCGAAATAAGCTTGGGGCTATTTTTGTGTGGCCTGTTGTCTAGTTCTGCCACTGCTGCTCACCCGAAAAGTCTTGAGTTCCGAATCGGGTTCAAGTCCTTAGATCGTCCCGGAATCCACGTGAGGGAAAGTAAAGACGGCGGGTCATAATGCTGACCACGCATATGCTGAGGTCACAGAAAAACTACTTCACTTGCGCCATTGACCGTCAGGTTCGAAAGCCGAGGGGTCATCCATAAATGACGTCACGCTTTTTTTGACGATTTTTACCTCCCCCCTCACCTCCATCACACGTCACAAAAAGCCAGACCCCACCCCCCTAAAATGACGTCACACCTCAACCTACAACCCCCCCCCCCCCTCAAATATTGCAGTTGAATATTTTTTTTAAAAATCGATATTTTTCCAAAATCTTGTCTGAACTCTGTCAAAATAGAGTATTTTAATCAATTCCTATTACAATTTTTTAAAACAGTTTTCTAAAACGCGAAATAACGTCTAACATTCGTTTTCTAACATTGCTTTTTTATAATGCAAAAGTGTGACGTCACACCATCTGAACCCCCCCCCCCTCCTCCCCCTCATCCAGTGTTTCTTCCAGACTTTTTTCTCCGGGGGGGGGGGCACTTGAAATCTTCGGGGGGGGGGGGGGCGGTAAACTTTTTTCGGGGGGGGGGGGGCGGACACTGTTAAAAGTATATATTTTCTATATAAATTATATAAATTTCATTTCGTTCGGGGTGGGGGGGGGGGGGGCGGTAAAAATTTTTCGGGGGGGGGGGGGGCTTCGCCCCCCCGAAGAGATGCCTGGAAGAAACTCTGCCCTCATCACACACCGTCACAAAATTACGGACCCTCCCCCCTACGAGTGTGACGTCATTTATGGACGACCCCCGAGGGAACTTAACAAAATAAATTGGTACACCGCGTTTACATTTGCGAGCTGTAGGCTATAGGCCTACTAATACTTATAGGTAATTTTATCAGAACATACAAAATATAGCCTATAATATGGGGGCCTACTCACTTATTGCGAAGTTTTTTTTTCCGCTCTTACAAAAGTCGAAAAAAAAAATCAAAATCCGACTCTCGCTTTAGCATTCCTATGTGGCAACTCAAAACGCATACACGCGTAGTTATACGCTTGACCTCGTCAACTTTGAACCCAAATGTTTTTATCAACTTTGAACTTCGATTACGATTAGGATGCACATTGAACCGAAGTCTGTGCAAAGTGTAGTGTAGAGAAGTGTCAGCCAGTAGTACAGTTGGATCTACTAATCTACACATTCATAACCTGCACACAAACAATAACAAAGGAGGGTGTATTGGTATTACCTAGATCTAGACTAGATCTATGAATTCTATGTACTAGGTGTACGTCACAATAGACTATAATAATAATACTAAATAGGCCGGTAATCTATCGTTTTGGGTACGTAAAATCGCCCGCGACTAGTAATGTGAAAAACAGGTGACTCCTTAAATTTTAATAATTATTTCACATTTTGAGGAGGATTTGTGTTTTGAAAAATACAAAAATGTTTCCTTGTTTCATTTATGTACCTGTTTTCAAACAATTGAATTAAAACTTTTCAATAATAAATGAATACTAGCGATGTTTCCAACAGATGCAACCATGCTCATTTACTCTAGCAGCCATCTTGTTTAAGTTCTTTCTTTGTTAATTTATAGCGCGAGATCAGGGGAAGGCAACTCTATTTTACAAATGGCTGCTGTTTATATAGGAAATCCTGCTCGCAAACACTGCTGTTAAAAGTTAATTTCTTGCCTATATTGATATATTTAGCTATTGATTTAGGTTATTTATTCATTTATCTATAATATTTGACACAAATATATCAAAATATACTTCTATTAAAGCCTTGACAATGAGGTAACTTTTTCGTACATTACTAGCCGCGGGCGATTTTACGTACCCAAAACGATAGATTACCAATAGGCCTATTACTAAATATAAGTAAATAAACAATAAATAGTAATTACTAATTACTAATTAGGCCTAATACTAATATATTAATATAGTAGTTAATATAGTTTTAGACTTTAGAGTTTAATAGAAGCCTTTAGCCTAGGGCTTTAAACTTTAATATTTAATATTACATAGATTCTAGGAGCCTAGGCCTAAATAATAAAAATTAATAATATTGAAATAAGTAATAAATAATAACTAGGGCCTAATTATTTATAAATAGTAAAAGTAGGCCCCTAAAATAGAGCTCTACCAGAGCTGATTGGCAGAATCGGTTACACGTCTGACTTGATGCATGGAAGGCGAGGTGATTCGGTGCCGTGTGGAGTGGTAGGTTCGGAACCCGTCGGGTCTGTCTGTTCTGTCTTAACTTGGACTATATTCTGTACCTTTGTCTACCCTTGGCGTTGAAATAACACTTTCTGTTTACATTGCTATTTCAGTCACAACGCCTGCTTCCACCCCTCACCACGTTTTAGTGATGAGTAGTGAGTAGTAGTAAATCTAATTTAATAATAATCTAATTGTATTTAAAATTAAGGCTAAATTAGTACTAAACAGTGCTAGGACTTTAGTTGGACTTAGTGTCTCAGGTTCAAATCCATCAAATCAGTGGCGGAACTAGAAAAAAAAGGCCCCCCCGCAGAATTTTTTTTTGGGCCCCTATATATATATATATATATATATATATATATATATATATATATATATATAATATATATATATATATATATAATATATATATATATATATATATATATATATATATATATATATATATATATATATATATATATATATATATATATATATATGGCCCCATTAAGTTTTCGAAGTGAGAAACACCGACTCTCTAAATCTAGCCCAACACACTAAACTGACGATGATTTTTAAGAGGCTTTTATCAAAACGTTACCAACCGTGTATTTTTAGACGTGTGCACTGTTTACCAGAAGTTGAATTAAATATTAACAATTTCGGCAGTTCATTTCTACCAACTAGACACGACAAGGCATGCTGTAAGTCCTTCAGCGACGGCCCAGGTGTCAGGGGAGTCACGGGGCTTTTGGGAGCTACCGGTTACATTCAGAGTTTCTTCCAGGCATCTCTTCGGTGGGGCCAAGCCCGCCCGAAAATTTTTTACCGCCCCCCACCCCCCCCCGAACGAAATGAAATTTATATACTTTATATAGAAAATATATACTTTTAACAGTGTCCGCCCCCCCCCCCCCCCCCCGAAGAAAGTCTACCGCCCCCCCCCCCCCCCCCCCCCCCCCGAAAATTTCAAGTGCCCCCCCCCCCCCCCCCCCCGGGAGAAAAAAGTCTGGAAGAAACACTGGTTACATTACTGCACAGGGGATGGGCGCGACATATTGTTTCTTCCGGCAGTCTGGAAGAAACATTGGTGCAACACTTGATTAGATTTAGTCATCGAGTGTAGTAGCGAGACTTATTCCTAGTGTTGTGGGAACTTTTAAACGACTGTCTGTGGGGGCCAACCTGCTCATATGTGATGCGCTCAGGATGACACTGTCGCCGGTGATTTCAAGTAGTAACCTCATCCGCTTATGCAAGATCTAGGGGCGCTAAATCACATATTTCCGTTGGGCGTCCCCACTCCAATATGTAAACAAATGTTAGCCTATGACAGAAACCTTTGCGTGGCTGTCCTCAACAGCTTCCAAAGTTTTCATGGCGATTGGGTAAATGATGCAGTAATGCAAAATAGACAGAAACATGTTTTTCACATGTACAACTGTATGTGGCCAGCTCACGCGTCGGATAACCTTCTGATTTAGGGGGGGGGGGGAAATCCACAAATGACGTCACATTTTTTAACGACTAACAAAAAGCCAGACCCTCACACACCCCCACCTCAATAACGTCATTTATAAATAGTAATTGACTATTAATTATATCATAATGTTCAATTAATTCTAAACGTTCTAATTAATTTCTAAATAATTATATAAAAAATAATCTTACCTTCCCTGTTTTGTGAATTAGATGTGCCTAATACTAATAGTATGCAAGCAAATTAATATCTGTTGACTAGTGCTGTCTAGTGTCTGACAAAATGTGCTAAAGTGGTGAATCGTACGGTTAGGAAGTAGTTCATAAACGATACATTGATCTACTCGATACTTGCGAGGCTAAAAAAGAGGGATGGGATGGGGGTCGGCTCGGGAAAAATCTTGAAAGAGACAACAAAGCGCCTATGTACCATCGCCCATTGTAAAACTTACTCAGGGGAGATAATTCCAAGTATAGGCCTTAAAAGTTTACTATGATATTTCTTGTAAAAGTAAAAAACAAGTAAACGTATATAAAAATGAAGTTTCTAGTATTATATTCTTTTTTATTATTTGTAGGATACAAGATAGTACAGAATACAAATTCAACCACTATCACTAACACATATTAACATTGAAAAATGTTCAATGGATTTCGGCGGGTCCCTAACTAATGCCGCAAAGAAGAACCGCGCATCATTAAAGCCACTTCATATGTAGCGGCTTCTCGTGCTATGGTCTTTGTTTTTTTTTTAAAAAGAATTTTGCCGGCGACAGCGTGGGGAAATAGAACTCGGCCTTGACGATGGTTAAAAAATACAACTATAAATAAAAAGAAATGTTATCCCCATCCCCTGCCCCATCCGCCACAGTACACTTTGGAGGATCGGTCAAACAGTTACGTGTCCTCTATTTAGCTATCAAAGGGGAGCAACGAGTCAAATGTGTCATTCAAATTTGAAGCGTTGCCTATATTTTACACTGTATTTTGTGTACTGGATTTTATTTTTTTTTTGCTGAAGAGCGTGGTATAGTGACTGTAAAATAAAGATAATCGTACCGCAGCTACAGTGTTTTTCTTTTACAAACTGAATAACAAGGCAAAAATGCACGAAAATTAAATTCAAAATTAAAAAAAATACTAATTATGGTCAGCAGTGGGCCCCTAAACGGCCTGCCCCCCCCCCCCCCTACCCGCATTGCGGGGTCTGGGGGCACTGTAGTTCCGCCCCTGTATAGATCTTTTGGTTGTTTTTAGGCTTAAAAGCTAGATCATTGTATCCTAAAAAATTTTAACTTTAATGTATTTAGTGTTAATAACTAATGTTCCATTAATACGTGTACTAATTATAAAACGATTAATAATATAAAGACGAGTCTTACCTTCCTTGTTGTGTGAAATAGATTCGTCAACGAAATACTTCATCAGGTAAATGAACAACTACTGACTAGTGTCTTTAACAAAATGTGCAGAATTGGTCAGTTTACAGTTCAGTAGTTCATAAACGGTTCGTTAATCTATGCATTACATCTTATTGTAAGAGTAAGGGTGTGGTGAGGGGTAGAGGTTAGGGGGATGGGGGGAGGGTAGAGAGTTGGGAAGGTTCAAGGGAAGGGGACAAGAAAGCGCCGATGAACATCTACATCAATAGTGCCGACTTTTTTCCGGTCGTCTAGAAGACCAGGATAGTCGCCGCACCATTTCCCCAGCCCGATTTTCAAAGCTTTTTTGTTCTCCTAATCGACGCCACTAAAAAAGAACGGTAGGCTGCGTCTTTGAAGTTGTCTATATGTCTGGCGGTCTCTCGAGCAATAGTCTGTGCATTTTTCTCAAAGACGTTTGCCGACTATCGTGTTTGTTTGTAACTGTAGAAGAAAGATAACTCGACATCCACCTATTTTTTTAAAATTAAATTTAAAAAATAAAAATAAATTTGTAATAATTTAGCCAGGATTTTTGGGCCCCCAATCGGTCTGGGCCCCCCCCCCCCGCATTGCGGGGTCTGGCGGCACTGTAGTTCCGCCCCTGCATCAAATGCTTGCTTCTATAAAGGTGTCATTTTAAAATCACAACATTGATTTTTACTGTTATTCTGTAATATACTGTTATAAAAGGGTGACTTTACTTTTTTGTAAAAACAATTTAAATTGTGTAGGGCTAATTGTAATTTCTTCTCACTGTGACGTGATTGTGAGCATATTTGTATGAAGAAAGGAAAAGTCTCATTCCCTAGAGTAAAAATAGCAATTAATATTATTAATATCTAATTAAAACATACATGCTAATTCACCTTAAAATTACTCTTAATTAATATTTTCCACTAGAGTAAAGTATAATATGTTATTTGATTTTAGTGACATAATGTCAATTATTCCTACAGGCCATTAATGTTAACACATTTCTATAAATTGAGTATTTCCCTATAAAATTTGAGTATAAATTTAAGATGATATTTTAGCCAAAAACCATTAAGGCTTTTGGTATGAATTAGCAATTGAGTGTTTAATAATACAGTGCTAGTGTATGAGCTTTTTTAAAAAAATAAGTGTGTACTCCTTCTAGGTTAACAGATAAACATGGCGTTGAGCAGTCGTACATACATTATAGGAGTTGGAATGACCAGCTTTGTCCGACCATTGACTAAAAAATGGGATTACCCAGATATGGCACGTGAAGCAGGTTTGGAAAAAACAAACTTCAAATCTTCAAATACTCTATAATTGTTACAATATTGCGTTTTGTACATATTATGTGAACATTTATGAAAAGTCTATACTTAAATCTTAAATTATAGCGACATAATTATTGCAATTTAGTACCTTTTTTAATAAGCATAATCAATTATTGTACACATTCCTAATCTTCTTATATACTTAACCAATGCTTGGTAATCTCCCTTACTTTAACCATTTCTCTTGCTACCATGATAAGAAAGCTGTTTTGTGCTTGTTAAAGTTTTATTGTAATTCTTTCTAAAATTTATTTTGTATGATGTTGTTGCAGGCCATTTTTACAGTAAACCTTTAATGCTTGTTAGGTCAGCTTGCATTACAAGATGCACGAAGGCAATACAAAGATATTAAAGCTGTTGTTGCCAGCTACTGCTATGGCGAACCAACCTGTGGACAGAGAGCTGTCTATGAGCTAGGGCTGACTGGGGTACCTGTTTACAATGTGAACAACAATTGTTCGTCTGGATCTTCTGCGCTGATGCTGGCAAGAAGATTGGTCATGAGTGGAGTGGAGGATTGTGTCATGGCTGTAGGTAAGTGCTTCAAGTGATGGTCAGTGGTCAGCTTTGGTCATGATGGTCAGTGGTAAGCTTTTCACATGATGGTCAATGGTAAGCTTTTCACATGATGGTCATTGGTTAGTTTTTCACATGATGGTCAGTGGTAAGCTTTTCACATGATGGTCAGTGGTCAGGTTTTCACATGATGGTCAGTGGTAAGCTTTTCACATGATGGTCAGTGGTAAGCTTTTCACATGATGGTCATTGGTTAGTTTTTCACATGATGGTCAGTGGTCAGGTTTTCACATGATAGTCAGTGATAAGCTTTTCACATGATGGTCAGTGGTATGCTTTCACAGTGAACTTCAATTTGAATTTGATAATTTATGTGTAAATGGCTAATCAATATTATCATTTAATATTTTTGGGTGATCGTTCTGAAGATAGATTGGTATTAACAATTTTTGTTACACTAAAATTTTGCATAATTTTCATTTTGACTATTTCACATGTCGGCTAAAAAATTATAAGCCAAAAATTTATTCTTTTTAAAAAGGGTTTGAGAAAATGGAGAGTGGACTTAGTGAAAAATACACAGATCGTGTGTCACCAGTGTCCAAGCACATGGAGCAGATGGTCAGTTTAGGGGGTGATAGAGAACTTATCAACCCTAAAGTAAATCAGTTTACATCAGATGTCATCAAACTGTTTGCCTATGCTGCAAGGGAATATGAGAACAAATATCCAACAAAATTGACTGACACCTTAGTTGACATTGCTTTCAAGAATAGAAAACAAGGGACAAACAATCCCAGAGCATCCTTTCAGGTATTTAAGAATTTTCTAATGTCTGTTTATTTTATTCATAATTTTTTAAAACAATTGTTTTGTTATGTTTTCTAAATAGTGTAATAATTTTTTAAACTTCAGTTTATGCTATACATTAATAATTATAATCTTATTTTAAATCAAATGTGTCTAAAATACTACTCCAGTTGTTATAAATAAAAAATTATAATAAAACTATGTATATATATATATATATATATACACTTTCTAAATATGTATATAATGATCTGCAGAATTAACAAACCATTCATTCTTTGTTATTATTTTCAATAAAGAATTTAATGAGTAAGGAAGCAATTGCTACCAAATCAATGCTGTTTCCACCCATTACATTTGGGATGAGTTCTGCAACAGCAGATGGCAGTGCAGCTGCTATTGTGTGCAGTGAAGAGTACATGACAAGAAACAACTTGCAAGACAAGGCAGTAGAAATATTAGCCCAAAACATGGTTGGTAAAATGTATTTTTTGTTTATTAATGTTCGTAGTCTTAGCAAGAAATTTTTTTTTATTACTTAAACTTAAAGATAAATATTATTTCTATGTTGCAGGTGACAGATCTTCCATCTTCTTTTGAAAAGTCTTTTATTGAATTATCTGGCTTCTCCATGGCAAAACTAGCAGCAGAAAAATGTTATGCCGAGACTGGCCTGAAACCAGATGATGTGGATGTCTTAGAGGTACATCTTACTTTTTACACACAGGTTTTGGTACTATAGATCAAGGTGTCAATTAGCTTTGAGAAATTTTTAAAAAATCAGCACACTTTTAGCTTGAAAATTTTAGAGAGCTATGAGCTTTATAACTATAATTGAAATCCTATCAGAGTAGCAAGTTACCTCCCCTTTCTGTTGATTCTTTTTTTTTTCTTTTCTCTCCTCTTCTTCTCCCCCCCCCCCCCCCCCAGCTAGATACTTAGTATTTATGGAATGCTTACATTGCGGAGAGAATTTAAATACACAAAAACCCTACTTGTTTTCCTTTACCCTTGATTTACTGATTTATTAAATTTTTTTTGATTATATGCCTGTCTTAAAGAAGCTTTCACTATGATTATCAATCATTGTTTAGCCAGTATTAGTCTTAACACTATATTAAAGCTAATTACTTACTAATGGATATTTTTTTATCAGGTGCACGATTGTTTTTCTTGCAATGAGCTCTTCATGTATGAGGCTCTGGGTCTGTGTCCACCAGGGCAGGGTGTAAACATGGTCAAGAACTCGGAGTGGAGAAGCAATAAAGATGGAGGGGAATTGTTGTACCTCAACAAAAAGTGGGTTGTTAATCCATCTGGAGGTCTTGAAGCCAAAGGTCATCCAATTGGCGCAACAGGTTCGTTAACACACAGGTGTAATTATAATTGTTTACCTATAAAGTTAATTAATTAATTAATGCAGCTGCAGAAGTGATTTAATTGTTAAAATATGTTGGACATAATAATCAAGCTGAAGAACACTAGATTACTAGCATAACTAGTTTGTGTAAATTGACATTCTGTTTCGAACCCAACTTCATGGGACAATTGAAATTAGGTCAACCAGTTCCAATGGGTATCTTACTTGAGCCTGGGATTATATATTGCTGACCACACAATCCCTTCAAACAAATAGTGTTAAAAAACAACTTAGATGTACTGTACTTCCTTTGCCCTTCAAGTCTAAAAAAACTCTCAGGCCTACTAATGGTTAAAATTGACATGTGTTGGATAAAATGACTTCAGGAAGCATATACAATAGTAAATAAGATTCTGTTGAGTTTTTTTGTGGTATATAAAAAACAAAAGATTCTTATTTAGAACTAGCAATCCATAAGGCAGATGTAGTAGAGTTTGTGTTTCTTGACCTCGGCATTTAAAGGGGAAGTGCAGTCAGCAATTTACCCAGCCAGCTTTACTTTCCCTAACATAAGTTAAATACCCATGAGAGCTGGGTGGACTCAGGGACATTCTACTGACTTAGACCCATATTTGAACTCAATACTTTTGGGTTAGCAGCCTAGAAAATGGTAAATAGATGATAACAATTTATTACAGTAAATATCTAGGAAGTATTCTTTTTATATTCTGCTTATAAAATATTTTTGTTTGTGTACCATGGCAGGGCTGGCCCAGTGTGCTGAACTAGTGTGGCAGCTTCGTGGTGAAGCGGGCAAAAGACAAGTTGAAGGTGCTAAAATAGCATTGCAGCATAATTATGGGATAGGTGGAGCAGCGGTTGTCACAATGTATGGTAAAAACAGAATGGAAACTACAGCAAAGCTTTGATTTAAAAACCAAGCTGTTTCATGTTATGTGTTAATTTTTTGCCTTTTGCTAAATTGTATAAACTAATAAGGCTGTGAGTGTGCTGAATGATTGTTTTAAATTTTACATACATTCAGGCCAAATGTATAACTTGGTTTGAATCAATTTTAAAATCTCAAAATCACATTGATTTTTTTTAACATTCTTACTATGAGTGCCATTCTATTTTTTGATTTATTGTTTATGTGCAAATATTAAAAACTATTTCAAAATTTTGTTTTTAAGATATATTAGGATCAGAATTTTAAATTGTACTTTTAGAAATTATAAAATCATGTTACATTCAAATGAATTTAGAAATTATAAACTCATGTTACATTTAAATGTATTTAGAAAGAATACATAGAATTTACAATTTTCTTTAACAGTTACATTAGTTTTTATAATTGCTAAGATCAGCTGTCATGTTTACATTGTGATTAGATTAATTTATAGGACTAAGTACTTCTTAAATTTAACTAAAATCCATGTCATGCTAATTGATTTTATGAGTTTTTGATATATGTAGATGACATTTTGTTTTTGGAATTTTGTTATATTGCCATGTTACCCATATATGAATCAATTTTAAGAACATTAGGAAAATAAGTAAAAACATTGGAGCTGTAGAGAACTTTGACTTTCTTAATTAAAATACAATGAACCCCATTGCTTTAAATTTTTTTGCAAGCTTTTTTGTCAGTACTAAATAGTTAATACATTATACTATTAGTTATCATGACTAACAGCCTATCCTGATTTACAGACTCCATTTTATTTCTTAGGTTTTCTTTGCTATAAATTTATTTACTTTTGGACAAAGTCGAAGATGACTTAGGTAAATAGTCCATCCATAGGAAATAGAGTCTTCAACTAGTTATAAAAAGCAAAGAGATTTTGAGACCACACTGAGTCTGCTACCTTTTATGTGGTATTTCGTGTCACAATAACAAAGTGGATTTTTCTTTAGTCAAAAACCTGAAATGACCAGTATTTTAACCAAGAAGTCATTATCTCACCTTCACATACAAGATGTTTCACTGATTTGGCCAAACATAAATACTTCCAATGCATGGTGAGAGGTTGTTAATTTTGTAAAATTAGTATTACTATAGGTGCCTGTGATAATGTACTGCATAATGTAGTATTCCAAGACTCCTGCACAACTTTAAAATAGTATTTTGAGTGATCTCTATATAACACACAATGGACTAGCTTAAAGCTGTGCATATGTTTTGTTATTAAGTTGTATACAATTTTTCCTCTCCATCATTAACACATCACTGACATCACAAGCTAGAATCCTGCTCCATAGAATGTCACCAAGTTCTACCCTCCTTCCCTAAAACATTGTTAATTTACTCTGCTAATGTAAGCCAACATGTCACACTAGTTCTGAGAAAAAACAAAATACATGCCCATTCACATGTGTGTCACCAATGGACAGCCCTTTATTTATTCAGGTCATTATATTTGCAAATATCAAATTTTTTCTTAGGTGAAGAGCTTTTCTCTAATAGCTAGGCCCATAGATCTACAGGGGTCTCCAAACTTTTCAGTCCGAGGGCCGCACTAACTATCAAATTTCAGTTCGGGGGTCAGTTTCTTCCAGGCATGTCTTTGATTTTTCTGGGCAAAGTTCCTCAGCCATCACCAACAAACGATTTTTCCTTGGACAAAAAGATCTCAGCGGGCCGGATGAGAGGACTTCGCGGGCCGCATCCGGCCCGCGGGCCGTAGTTTGGAGACTCCTGATCTAGAATAATGGTATAAAAACTAAGTTTTTAAAAAATTCAGATTGCAACATTCTAGTCCTACTAAACTGCTTGGTTACCGACTGAATATATTTGTTGCATAGTCATTATTAGTATAATTAGTCAAGAGTGATCTTAGTCAAAGGCAAGGGTGCTAATATCTTTAATGGCGTCAACTTGTTTACTTCCGGAATTGATGTCAACTTTCTTTCATAGTTTTTAGTGTTTTTATTCACTATTTAATCCAAATAAATCTAAGGGAAGTACTACTCATCCATTAGGGTTGAGAATGTAGTTTAATACTAATTTACTAGCCGGTTCTTATTGTGATATTTTAAGTTTTTATATTATTGTCTCATCCATTGTTAAAATGTAACCGGATATCTATATTCTTAGTTGTTGTAGATCTACTGATGATTCGTTTTCTTTTTCATCTATTTCTACTGATGTCAGCATGATATTTTAATTTTACTGGTGAGTGAAAATGTTAGGGACTGGTGTTGTCACCAGAAGCAGCAGAGCTAAGAAGTATCGTTTAAATAAAGAAAAAGCGATATCAAAAAAGATTGCTAACATTTGTGCAGCGGATGATATTCATTTTCAAAAGAAAGATGGAGGACAATGCGTTATCGTTGCCTTTAGAAACTCAATTAGCTATGAAAAAGTAAAAAGAATCTTCAAAACTAAATATGCTGGTGTTGTTGAGGAAAGAAGGGATGATGATGGCGCCAATGTTGAAGATATTTATAAATTACCAGGGCTATCTGTCCATCTGTACCACACGAATAGCAAAATTATGGTACAGGGAAAATCTAACGTTGTGTCTGTTTGGGTGGATTCGGAATTTTGCTGTATTCTAAATAACCTAATTACAACAGACAAAGCTGTCGACATGCCTCTACCCATGTCGCCGCCACTATCACTGTCACCACCACCTTCACTGTCCCCACCCAGAGTATTGGAGCTACCCATTTCACCGCCCATGATTATGTCTGCTTCCAACAGTGACAATCAATGTGCAGAGGATACGATCAATACCAATCCGTTAGATTGTGTAACACCTATAAATAACTATACATTTTCATCAAACCTATCTCAACCAACTGATTTGCTTAGTCCAAAAATATCATTTCTTCAAACCACACAACTGGATAATAACTTAAGATCGTTTATTCTTAACGAGATCACCTGTGTTAAAAAAGCTTTTAAAGCGGAGAAATTGCTGTTTAACAGCCAACTAGAACAACTCCGAGTCGAAAACGCTGTCTTAAGGGATGAAGTCAAGAGACTATCTAATGAAGTGCATAGCTGCAAAGATATACACGTTAACCTTAAGAAACGTTTGATTGATCAAGAAAATATTTCTGCGTCACTAAAGAAACTCCTCACAACCAAGAATCCCTCTTGCAGCACAATATCCACCTCAACATGTGAGGATAATCAACAACAACTAATAAATGATACAAAAATCACATCGGCAGGCATCATGCAAGAAGCTCCGTTCCCAATCCCTGTTAAAATTACGCAACGTGATGACAGAGCGCGAATCAAACCATCGGAACATTCGAGTCCCAGCACCCTGCAACGACCACGAACTAAAAGCAATTCTACACAATACAGCGTCCCAACGGTCAAGGCTGTTCATGTCCCTGTTGTCCAACGCTCTACTCACTATGCCACTAATAGAGATAGCACACAACATGTCGCCGCCCCCTACACCAACCAAACAACGAAACACCATCTGATCCTTGGTGACTCTACACTTAAAGGTCTCCATCCTGATATAATGGCCACGGATCATTACGAGCGTGTATCGGTAATAGCGCTGCCTGGGGCAAATTTTGAAAAAATTAGGGACATTATTAGTAGCCGATCACGTGACTCTAATACCACAACTGTAACCTTACATTGTGGTGTCAACGACAGTCTATCAAACGTCAGGCTGTCACAAGCGAATATGCTAGACATTGTGAGAAGTATCACTCACAAATTTCCCAACGCAACAATCCGATTTTCATCCATCGTACCCCCATGTCGGGGCAAGGGTAGGCAGTTGATAGATATAAATAATAGATTTTTACAGTCTTTCTGCATTAGTTATAAATACTGTTTTATAAACAATACACCTTTTTTCACTGCGAAGTCAGGAGCCCCGAGACAACGCTTGTACAGTGACAGTATTCATTTGACTAAAATTGGAAGCAGCATTCTTGCTAAAAATATAAAGTATCCCCAAAGAGCCGTCAGCTTAACAGATAAAGACCATGTGCAACTTTCAAACGTAAAAGGTACAACGTCTGATTTGGTTTCGACTGTTGATTTGCTTCCAACAATATCTTCAGATCAATTGAACTCTAGCCCAGGCTTACATCACTTAATGGGCTTTAGCCCTTTGTTGCTTCATCAAGCTCTAATGTTGTCGCTTAAGCGCCTTCCCGGAACCTAACTTTTTTCACTTACTATTTACTAGTTTAGCTCACTGTACTATTTTAATTATAGTGTAGGCAGTGTGAAGAGCAGCGAGTGTTTGTTTATTGGATGACAAAGCGTGTAATTGTAAGACAATTATATTGATTCTGTTTAATTAGTTCATTATATTGATTTTTGTTTATAACATCTCTTATTCATTGATATTTTATTATCTTTATGCATTGTCTATTTTCATCATCCTGGCCCTCACAATGTGGGCTAAAATTGGGTCATTTAAATATTTTCCACATATTTAATAAACACCATGAAGTTCTAAAAATTTTAAACAATTCCAACAATCCTTTCCATATCTTTGGTTTCTCTGAAACTCGATTACAATCTTTTATAAATGATGTTGAGATATCCGTCTCTGATTATAACCTAATACGCCGAGACCCATCCTTACACAAAGAAACTGGCCTTTGTGTCTATGTCCACTCCTCAATTCGTTTCAAGTACAGGATGGATCTGTCAACGGACAATATAGAATGTATTTGGATTGAACTCGAAAAAAGCAAACACCATCCGGCAATTTTAATTTGCTTCCTTTATAGAAATCCCTGTGAAAACATGGATTGGTATGATCGTTTTTGCTCCATGATGGATACCGTTTTATCTACTAACAATGAATATATCATATTGGGAGATTTTAATATAAATTTATTAAAACCTCAAGGATATTGGCAAGATATTATTGATTCTTTGAATCTTAAACAATTTGTGCACACGGCTACCAGGGTAAATGATAAATCTAGTACAATAATTGACCACATATACGCATCACCTGACTGCAACCTAATAGAGGTCTGTGTTCCCTCTTGTGGTGTTAGTGATCACTTCCCTGTTTGCTGTACTTTTTCGACAAAAAGATTATGTGTACCTTCGCGGCAACACATAACTATAAGTTATCGCTCTTTTAGAAAATTTAATGAAAATCTTTTTCTTTCGGATTTATTGGCTGCCCCCTTCTGCAATGTATACAATTATAATTGTCCCGATCTTGCCATTTCTGAATGGCTGCGTATTTTCTATACTATATATGATAAACATATTCCTAAAATCTCTAAAAGAGTTAAGACTACATACAAACCTTCTTGGTTTAACAACAATATCGAATCTGCAATTAATAAAAGAGACTGGCTTAAACGTCATGGAACTTCTGAGGACTTTTGTAGGCAGCGAAATTATGTCAAACTGCTTGTGCGTAGGTCGAAGAAAGAGTATTTTAATAAGCTGCTGTCAGGCAAACCTAATTCCAAATCTATCTGGACTGCTATAAATCAAATAATTAGAAAAAAACGCACATGTAATACAGCTGGACATTGCCAGATATCTGCTGATGACTTTAACAATCATTTTATATCATCTGTAGCGCTCAACACAGATGCTGATTACACAATCAGTGAGGAGCTTAAAAATTTTTGTAATTCTGCTCACCGTGGTAGGACAGAGCTGATCATTCCGCTTCTCACTGTTCATGAAGTTTATGTTAGCCTAAGATCTCTTAAACCGTCTTCAACAACTTCGTTTGATGATATTTCTAATAATGTATTGAAGATTTCAGCTCCAATAATTTCCGAAGTTTTAACCTATGTCTATAACCTCTGTATTGCCAAGCATTATTACCCGACACATTTTAAGCATGCAAAGGTTATACCACTACACAAAAAAGGTAACATCCAAGATGCTAATAACTACAGGCCAATTTCTATACTTTCTTCCCTCTCCAAGCCACTAGAAATACATATAAACAAATGCATTTCATATTACCTAGAAAAGTTCAAGCTTTTCCATAGTAATCAGTCTGGGTTTAGAAAGTTTCATTCTTGTCACACTGCTCTGATTAAGATGAATGAAAACTGGCTTATAAATATTAACAAAAACCTACTCTGTGGCTCGCTGTTTGTCGATTTCAGAAAAGCCTTTGATTCTATTGATCACGCCATACTTCTTAAAAAACTAATTCCATACAAATTCCACGACTTTACAGTTAGGTTACTTCACTCCTTTTTATCTAACCGATCTCAACGCGTGTTTCACCTTAATACCATCTCTTCACAGAAATATGTTAATATAGGGGTTCCACAGGGCTCAATCTTAGGTCCTTTACTTTTTTCTTTATACATTAATGATCTTCCATTACATATTGACGCTGGTCAGTGCGAGATGTTCGCTGATGATACTTCTTTGCATGTCTTTGCAGACAGTGCTGAGTCACTCAGTTACAAACTTCAAACATGTGCCAATCAGCTTGCAACTTGGACAAAATTTAACAAAATGAAACTTCACCCCGATAAAACCAAGTCAATGTTTATTACAACTCATCAGAAACGCCTTCGTCTTCCATCCACCGCATTAAACATTACTATAGACAATTCAAACATTGAACAGGTAGACAGTTACAAATGCCTAGGATTGTTTATAGATCACAACCTCACTTGGTCTGACCATATTCATTTTCTAAGAATGTCCTTATTAAAGACAACCTTTCAGTTAGCAAGGATAAAGAACTTTCTCAACTATAGGAGCAGGCTGGTTTTTTATGAGGCTTTTATTCAATCCAGGTTGGATTATGCTTCTGTAGTGTGGAGCGGCAGCTTTATATCTAAGCAGCGTCCTCTTCTTTCTTTACAAAAAAGGGCTATAAAACTGGTTACTGGCTTGTCTAGTAGTATGGATTCTTTTCTTACAACTAAAATACTTCCATTAAATAAAAAGATAATATATACTAAATCAATTTTCTTATATAAAATATTCCACGAAACAGCCCCCTCTTACTTATCAGATCTATTTTCTTTTAACATAAAATTAAATCGTCGTCTCAATTTACCATTCCCTTATTCAACCTTTTTCCAAAAACATAGCTTCGCCTACTCTGGTTCTAATTTGTGGAACAATCTTCCTAATAAAATAAAGCTATCTAGATCTGAAAATATATTCAAATCTAAATTAAAACTAAAATTATTTAATGACCTAACTGACTCATTGTAACATTTCTCATTCATCTATTATATTCTCTTTTTTATCTCATTATGTATGATAGCTATGTACCATTGTTTCTTTATTCCACATTTTCAGTGCTATGTGTTACTGCTATGTGTTATTGAATTGCTTTATTTGTTTAAACGGCCAATGTGAAAAAAGGCCTTTGTGCCTACAATTGTAACCGTTGTTTGAATAAATTTGAAATTTGAATTTGATGCAATCCTGACTGCGACACCGGTCGATATTTAGTAGCTCTTGTGCATTGAAAGTTTAATAACAAGCAAAGTTTTCAAAATGGCAGACAAACCAAAAGGAAAACGAGATGCAGACGAAGGAAAAGACAAATCTAATGAAGATAATAATGACAGTGATGATGGTTGGGTTGGACCAAGTCCTAACGAAGCTGCCAAGACTAAAAAACGCAAAAGTATGTTCTATTCAAACTTAAATGATTAATGCAACCTTGTGGCTTAGCTACTGTTTTCCCCTCAGCTCAGCCTCAGGGCTATTGACAACATGAACGCTGCCACAGTACCAGTACATGAGTACCAGCAGTACAGAATTTTTTTCACACTCGTTAGTCTTAAATGCTGATTATCATATGATAAATGAGCTATGATGAGTATGCTATGTCCAGTTCAGGAATTATCATTTCAGAAATTTCTCAAAGAAATGGCTCTCTAAATAATCCAATTCTAGTCGGAATAAGATACGCATGCGATATGCATGCGCAATGGAGAGAAACTACGACTTGCCTTAGCGGCAATGTTTTCGATGGTACTGCGCATGCGTGTGTTTACAACCGCAGAACCCTAACACCAACCCTAATCCTATCCTTAACCCTATCCCTAATCCTATCCCTAACCCTAACCCTAGCCCTAATCCTATCCCTAACCCTAGCCCTAATCCTATCCCTAACCCTATCCCTAATCCTAACCCTCATTCTAGCCCTAACCCTATCCATAGGTCACTGCGCATGCGCAGAACTATCTTTTGCCGACTAAATGGAGATGTTGGGGAGAAAAAATCTTCTTCCGAGTAGACACTTCGCTCAAAATAACTGCCGTTTTTTTACTCATACTTAGAAGAGTAGAAGAGCATTACTAAAGTGGCAACCAGTTTCACTTTCATTATATGGTAGAGGGATAAAACTAATGATTATGAAGCCATCGTCAATTTTAGAAATCAAACTACCCGTTTCTATTTAAGTCTGTTATTTGAGAATTGTCAGGTGTACTTTTTATCTAATTTCGTTGTCTCTCAAGCGACGCTTTAGTAAGCCAACTATATGTATTCTTGTATTTCTGATCAAATAACTGATAACTCTAAAATACCACTTTGATTTCAAACCAGCCTGTGTGAATAATATACCCGAAAGCCTTAATTTTACACACATTACAATTTGAAATTATTTACTCTGATTTGCTAAATCTAAGTTTATAATCATATCTATTTCACAATAGTGGCCATTTTTAGTTGTGTTTACCTCTTACAGTTTGTCCATAAACTATAAGCTTACATCACTTACAAAGTTAACCATAACTAATTATTAACCCTATACTCTGAAACTAATGTACTATTCTACTGTTAACAATATCCCAATTCAGTCCCTATTCCATTTTGTAAGCCACTGTGGTTAGGTAAATCATTTGGATTTTATTACTAAATTCATCTTTTTGAACCAATTTTTGGCTTAAAATACATGTTTAGTAGCAGCTGTTTTTGTTTCTTTAGTTACAGTACTTGATAAGCTTAAGAATTGTTTTCTTTTTTTTTTAACTTGAGAATTTGTAGTAAAACTTAATGACACTTGAACTCAAGCACCAAGCTTCCCACACCTCAAATACTAAAATGACTGACACGTTGTTATTATTAAAATAGAGGTTAGACCTTCAACTGCATTAAATTTCACATAATATAGACATTTCCAATCATTATTTTAGCCTTGGCATTTGAGCAAGTATATTTAGACAGTCTTCCCTGCGCAGAATACTATGAGAAAAGTTACATGCATAGAGATGTAATCAACCATGTAGCTGTCAGCAAGTAAGTTAGCACATTTTTTTCTTTAAAAAAAATAATGATTGTATTCAATTAAAATATAAACTCCTCTTTATAGCATATGTTTTTTTTTTTTAAATTTGAAACAAAAAATGTCTTACCCAGTTTTAAAAAAGAATTACAAGGCAATTAAAGCTATGAGACTGCCTTTTTCTTTTACTGAAGTAACTTTTATACAGCTTTAACTTAAAAATAAAACAAATGTCTTTATTTGAGCGATATCTCAATTTTACTTGTATTAACATGTTAGTTTTGGTCTAAAATTTAACTTTGCTTTTAAACACAGAACTGGGTTTATAATCACCGCCAGCTGTGATGGCCATGTAAAGTTTTGGAAAAAATCAGTCGAGTCTGGTATTGAATTTGTCAAACACTTTCGGAGTCATCTAGGTAAAAGAAACAACACTCTAACTACATTCTGTTTTAAAGATAAAATAAAGCTATGTAAAACTTAGCTTTACTATAGATTTAATTTTATTATTATTTATCTTAATTATTAGAATAAAGCATTTTTTAGTATGAAATAAAATGCTCAACTGGTTATATTTTTTTTAAAACAGGCACAGTGGAAGATCTGGCAATGTCAGCTAATGGTGAACTCTGTGCAACTGTTTCATCTGACAAAAATGCTAAGGTCTTTGATGTACTCAACTTTGGTAAGATATATTTAATGTTGCATTAAGTAAGTGGGGAAAAATCATCACTAGCAACTAGTTATTTTATAACTAGCCTTTTTGACACTTATTAATCAAATGCTCTATTGTCCATTCATAAAAATCTTTAAACTGACATGATTTTTTACTTATCTTGATTTATACTATCTACAGATATGATCAACATGTTAAAACTGGGTTTTTATCCTGGATGTGCTGGCTGGTTGTACAAAGCTGGGGACCCAGTATCAACACTTGCAGTGTAATGACATTTCACATTACGTAAAAACACTACCAAAAAAAAACTTCTTTACTGTAGTAGTGTTTTTTCATTGCAGATATTTTAAAAATAAACAAGGACCCGTACTTTCCTGTATAGAATTATTTTTTTATTGTATTTTATAAGTAATCTCTTGAAATAGATAAAATGCTTACTGCTATTTCATTCCAGCCATCGTTTTATTCTTTGATATCTAATTAAATGGTCAACTTCATTGAATAATTTCACAGATCAGAAAAAGACACTCCAAAAATTTACATTTATGATGGACGAGGGACAAGTACACCACTTCATGTTTTGGAAAAACTTCACTTTGCTCCTGTTGTTCTTATACATGTAAATATTGTTTGAAAAAAATATTTCTAATAGTTTTGCCTAATATATTTTTAGCTAATAATTAATAATTTACAATTTTAAAAATCTTCTTAGTGGTGAATTCTTACATTTTTGTATGCAGTTCTATATTTTGAAACACATCTTTTGTAATGGAATTTCAGTATAACCATATTCTTGAGTTTGCTGTTTCTACGGATAAAAAAGGCATGGTTGAATACTGGTCTGGTCCTAAAAATGACTACGGCTTTCCTAGAAATCTCAAGTGGGAGTTTAAAACTGACACTGATTTGTATGATTTTATAAAGGTAAGTGCTAAATGTTAAAAGGCTATAAAGAGATCATTGGTTAACAAATTTTGTTTCCTAGTTATATAAGTTATGTCTCAACTAATTTTTGGGTTTTATCTAGTTATTTAGCAGCTACAATTTATACATTTACCAAAAAGCTAATTTCAATAATAATATGTTGATCAAATGTTATCAGAAGAGTTTGTGAATATCAGTGATAATGAAGTATTCTTAAAACTCTTTGTTAATAAATGTAAGGTTCTGTTTTAGAAAAGAAAGTATTTCTTATGTGATAATATACTGTATATTTTCCCTCTCCAGTGCAAATGTGAACCATTATCTGTAACATTTTCACCTAATGGTCAACTCATGGCAGTTTTAGCCACTGACAGAAAAGTAAGTTTTGTTTGTTTAGAAAGTTAGCACAACACTAAGTACATCATCTGAATGAAAATCCCACTAACATTATTAACGTGCAATACTTTTTACAGATTCGTATTTATAAAGTTTTGACCGGAAAGTTATGGAAAGTTTTAGATGAGTCGATTAAACAGTTTACAGAACTACAGCAGGTAAATTACTCTTGGCTTATCAATTGTTAATGAGGATCAATACAATAAATAATGGTATTTTGTCTTGGGTAAAGCAACAGCATTTTAAAAATATTGTTTTGCAAACTTGTCATGGCTGAAAGAATAATGTTAGGAGGCTAACATTTTACCATTTGTTTGTTAACACTAATTTTACGTGTTTATTAAAGATTTGTTTCCATAAGGCTTATTCTTTTTCTTAAACCAAATGTTTAAATTTAAAAATAAAATAAAAGTCTAATAACTCATTTTATTTCAGCAAAAACAACAGATTCCTAATATGGAATTCAGCAGGAGAGTGGCGGTTGAAAAAGATTTAGAAAAATCCCCAACCTATCATGAGTGCAACCTAGGTAATGCAAAGTTAAATACAATAGGTTTAAATATTGACTTATTGATTTTAAGTCCTTTTTTTCTTATTTTAAGGTGATTTTAAAATAAATATTTTAGTCTCAAATTTAATTTTCTTTAAGTAAATGTTTATACAGCTCAACTTATTTTCTACTTAAATTTCAGTTTTTGATGAGAGTGGATATTTTTTGTTATATGCAACTATGTTGGGAATCAAAGGTGAGTCCTTTGATTTGATCTCTTATACCGATTAAACAATTGAAATAGTTACCAATAAAGAGACCTTCATAATAATTGTAAATTACTTCACTCAGCTTTGCCTTGTATTTCATTAGATTCACTCTCAGACATAGTACCATACTTTTTTTTCAAATATTTAAAAAAAAACTACCTTATTTTAAGTATAAAATTTTTATATATATTTATATATTTATTTAATTTATATTTAAAAAAAATACTCTTATTTTATTAAAATCTCAGTAATAGTCAATAAAAACAACCTATTTTTTTGTTTAAGGTAAGTATTAAATTTTCTTTTAAAAATTTGTTTGCAGTGATAAACCTTCACACCAACACATGTGTCAGATGGCTGGGTAAATCGGAGAACATCAGATTTCTCCACCTGGGCTTGTTTCAGGGTGCAGGGAAAACCACTCAGCCCATCGACGCTGAAATGGCAGCCTCTGATAACCCCATTCTGAAGAACGTTTTCGTTGATCCAATACTGGTGTGTACAGCGTATAAAAAGCCCAGGTTTTTTTTGTTCAGTAGGAGAGAGCCTGATGATTCAAGAAGGTAGGGATGTTTCTAAAACTATTGATAAATTACTGTTTATTTTGTAAACATTTTTGTAATTGTTTCACTTAAGTTACTAAAAATCTAGAGAAAAAAAAAGTGGTAGAGGCAATTTTGAAATATTGATAATTATAGCTAAAATAAAAAAATCATTTAATAAGTTAGTTGTAGATGAGGATTAAGAAATTGTTTTTATTTTACTTTATCATTTAATGTAACTGACTGATGTTTTAAACTTTTTGTTGTAGTGCTGACAGTGAAAGAGATGTGTTCAATGAAAAACCATCAAAAGAAGAAATTATTGCAGCCACCCAGGTTTGTCATGTTAACAAATTGTGTTCAGAAAACTGATTACCCTCACTTTAGTTTCCATCTTAAAGCTGGCCTGTCAAGAAGTTTTGTTGAATTTTCTGCTTGTAATTTACAGGATGCCTCATACATGCGGGTTTCAGAGAACTGTGTTATTCACACCACACAAGGAGACATTCACTGTAAAATTTTTGCCAAAGAGTAAGTCCTTTGCATTATTTTAAGTAAATATATTGAACATTTCTGACCTTCTTGAGTTATTTTGTATGAATGTGTTTTATAAGGCATTAAAAATGTTGCCAGCTCTCTGCCCAGCCACCTTTACGTTCTACGGACTTGAACCGCAGTCATTTGTTCTACCATGTGACCACACTGTCCCATAAGATAAAGTAAGGCTAAATGTTTTGTTTTTGTTCTGACAGATGCCCAAAAACAGCAGAAAATTTCTGTGTGCACGCTCGCAATGGTTACTTCAACAATCATTTGTTTCACCGAGTCATCAAAGGTTTCATGATTCAGACTGGAGACCCCTTAGGTGAGAAAAACAAGTGTTTGATTTTTAAATTTACTTTATGGAATAGAATTTGTTAGCTCTCACAGGATTGATTTCTCATTGTAATAAAATAAAATTATTGATTCTATCATAGATTTATTTTGGTATTGCCATAACATTGATTGAATTACTTGATTATTTAATTTTAAAACTATTTTTAATTGAATCTTAAACTCATAATTTACTTTGTTTTACTTCTGACATTGATTCCAACAGTAGTTTTCATGCTACAAAAAATACAAAAGCTCATTTTACAAAATGTTTCTCTCTAGGCAACGGAACTGGTGGTGAGTCTATATGGGGTGGTGAATTTGAAGATGAATTTCATCCCAACTTGCGTCATGACAGACCTTACACGTTGAGCATGGCCAATGCTGGACCAGGAACTAATGGATCTCAGTTTTTCATCACAGTGGTTCCAACTGTGAGTAATTAAGGGCATTAACTCAGTTTAAAAAAAAAACATCTTTTAGAGTGCAGCAATGTGCAGTCTTAACCTGAACAATTGCCAATTAAGTCAGTTAAGAATTATACTGACCACACTATTCTTTTATAAGCAGCTACACCAGAAACAGATCTGCTCTCTAGAACTTGCGTGCTTAATTTTTTCATGCTATAATAAAAAGTTAACATTAATAAAAATTTGGAGCTACACTTTTATATTTTATAGGAAATTGTAGAATTTCTCACCTATTGTGTCATGATCACAATTTATCCACATCATCAATTCATCCCAATTGAAATTTAAACATTTCAGCACCATTTGTTCTTACAGTTGTTATTTTTCTATTCCCACAGCCCTGGCTGGACAACAAACACACAGTGTTTGGTCGTGTTGTTAAAGGCATGGAAGTGGTTCAGACCATCAGCAATGTTAAAGTCAACCCTAAAACGGATAAGCCTTATGATGACATAAGAATCATTAGCATCACCATTAAATAGTCCCTGACAATTTTGTTGCTGTGTCTGAAGTTCTTGTTTCTGTATCAATATACTACACATTTTTGTAAATACTTTTACATGGAACATTACCATTCAAAATTGGTAAATACAAAAAAATAAAAACATCTGACAAAGTATTTCCAATGTTGAATAAAAAAATCATTTTTATAATAGGTGCCATGTCAAATTTTTTTGTTTTTATTTATGTTGGTTGCTTTATATTCTTACACAACTGGGTATGAGGTATGAAATTGAGTTAAATGAATGTGTTTGTGAACATTTGCAACATGACTTCACTCAACAAATATAGAGGGTGCTCATTGAGATTGCTAAGCATCTAATCATTGAATGTCATATTACAAGTCATGTAAATAGTATTACACATCTGGTATTGACACTGCTTTTATGCATCAATTCTACATAAAGTACAAGCTATCTGATCATGTTCGTAGAATCACATCAAAGATGTCTTATTACATCCCTTGATAAACAAATTCTGACTTCTATTCTTAATCAGTCTTTTTAGCACACTAAATCACAACTTAATTAGATTGATAAAGCCAGGTTAGCCTGTAAATGTAACTTAAAATGTACTTGCGAAAATGGCAATGAACTGTTGATTAAACTTCAAGATAATGTAATCTTGATGAAAATGTAAACTGTTCAATTAAAGAGTATTTTTAAAAAGTCACCCAACCTACTTTTTGTTTAGTTAACTGTTCTTAAAAAACATCAGACACATCAGTGGAATGAGGGGGACTAGTCCATGTGTGCCTACAGTAGGCTGTTGTCAGATTTTGTTTCTAAATGGAAGACATTGACATTTTCTGTTGTTAAAATCACATTTAACCACTTCTTAAGACTTCATCATTAAATAATTTCACGCTTTACCTTCTGGTTCATGGTCACATATCATAAAAAAAAATCAGACGTCACACATCCCCACCTCATTGAAATTTCTGTGTGTTTTGAATATGGAATATCTTTTTAAAATAGACATCAAATTATTCTTGATCAACTTCATTTGGATAAATCTCTCTTAGATCTTATTATTAATGTTTGGCTCTTGGTCTGTGTCTGTCCTTTATGAATTACTATACCATTCATCCCATCGCCATTGAACTTTGGGAAGTTGATGAGAATACTCCCCAAGGGCTGTCAGTATAATAATATTAAATAAGGAATATTAATACTTTTTGATTTCAAGGGAATTAACCTGTATAGATTATTTATCGAAAACAATATAACTTGGTTATTTCCCTTTGACCGCAAAATTTCAGAATTGAAAATAATAATATTAAATAAGGAATATTAATACTTTTTTATTTCAAGGGAATTAACCTGTATAGATTATTTATCGAAAACTATTAACTTGGTTATTTCCCTTTGACCGCAAAATTTCAGAATTGAAAAAAAAACAACAAAGGATGCAGTCGTGTTTCTGTGCATTACTATACCATTAATCGCATCGCCTTTGAACTTTGGGAAGGATTAGAATACTCCACAAGGGCTGTCAGTGTAATAATATTTAATTAGGAATATTAATACATTTTGAATTTCAAGGGAATTAACCGTGTTTAGATTATTTAGCGAAAATATTAACTTGGTTATTTCCCTTTGACCGTAAAATTTCAGAATTAAAAATTATGATCCAGTCGTGTTTCTGTGCATTATTTTACCATTCATTGCATCGCCTTTGAACTTTGGGAACTTGATGAGAATAATCCACAAGGGCTCCCAGTATAATAATATTAAATAAGGAATATTAATAATTTTTCGAATTTCAAGGGAATTAACCGTGTTTAGATTATTTATGAGAAAACTATTAACTTGGTTATTTCCCTTTGACCGTAAAATTTTAGAATCGCAAAAAAGGATGCAGTCGTGTTTCTGTGCATTACTATACCATTCATCGCATCGCCTTTGAACTTTGGGAAGTTGAAGAGAATAATCCACAAAGGCTTCCAGTATAATATAATTAATTAAATAAGGGATATTAATACTTTTTGAATTACAAGGGTTAACCGTGTTTAGATTATTTAGCAAAAAACTATTAACTTGGTTATTTCCCTTTGACCGCAAAATTTCAGAATTAAAAAAGGATGCAGTCGTGTTTCTAGGGGAGTCACGGTCCCCTGAAGAGAAGCCTGAAAGTAATTCTGCCAGGAGCTAGTGTGTTGTTGGGCTACACGAAATTTCCTCCGCGGCTACCTAACTGGGGTCTGGGGTCAGTTGCAAATTGTACCACAGTGCTAGCCACCTGGATGTATTAAAAACGTTTTAACAACAATCTTTATGTAATAATGCACTTAAAAGGAAGAAATAAATTATTTTCTTTAAATATATAATAATACACTTCTATTTAAATAACTATAAAGAAACGCGTTTCTTTATAGTTATTTAAATATTATTTATTTTAAAGAAAATCATTTATTTTCTACTTTTATTTCATTGTTACATAAAAGCTTATTATTAAAAAAAGATTTGTATGAAATTTCTTTTTCAGTACTTTAAATGTTTTATTTACAATAGAGTTGCATGACTAGAATCTATTGCGCACGAAATGAACATGATAATGCGCGTACGGTAGTGCGAAAAGAGTAGTAGGACAGCCTACTAGTTTCAGAAAATTTTAATTAATTCATAAAAACAATTTAAGTCAAATTTAATGTTATATTGCATTATCTTTAAGTCTTTTACCCACGTGCCGAATTTAAGAGAAAATGGTCTGTTAATAGAAGTCTCCGAAATTTCGCTCGCCCTTTTCTATCTATGACGACAGACTGACAGACGAAGCAAGTTAAATAAAAGGGGATCCGGACAAAAGGCCGACATGGACAAAAGGCCGACATGGACAAAAGGCCGACACGGACAAAAGGCCGACATGGACAAAAGGCCGACAAGACAAAAGGCTGACAAGACAAAAGGCCGACAAGACAAAAGGCTGACAAGACAAAAGGCCGACTGCCAAAAGGCCGACAAGACAAAAGGCCGACAAGTTTTATAAAACAAAAAACAACAATTACAGACATGTTTACTATCTAAAATATGTTATTATATACGACTGTTTAATTTTCTCATTAATGATCTTCTTGCCGATATATGTTTGTCCATATATAGGGAAATCACAAGTTTACACAAAAAACAAAAAATAACTTATTAATTTTGGCACACTTGTATCACAATGACAACAGAATTAATGAATCCATTTCACGCAATTCGCAAACATAATTCAAAGTTTGTCGGTATTTAACATGTGGTCCAGTCAAGTCACGTGATCGGTCTACTTTATTCGGTTTCTTTGATTTCTTTGCGAAATATGGTGGTAACGCCACCTATCTGTTTATCCTTTGTACACTCCCGTCATCTCCATTGTCCACCTTATAAGGATCGCAACTAGCATTGTCTCTTCGCGTTCCACCTTGTTGCATGTGGGCGATGATGCCGGCGGCTTTTGACTTGGTTCTTTGATGGTTGTCTCACCTCGTTGACATAGAAGGAGCTATGAAAGACAGCAGTGACAGCATTTTGCAATATCTAGGTGTTAATCCCGTAATCTCCAGTCGTTTGACCCGATGGTTCACCTTATAAGGATAGCAACTAGCACCGTCTCTTCTCTTGATCGTTTCACCTTATTTTTATGCCTTATTTCGATGGTTGTCAAGATAAGAGCTACGCAGTAACACATATTTTGCGATATTTGTATTTTTTATGCTTTTCGGCCTTATGGTTTGTCGGCCTTATGGTCTGTCTGCCTTATGGCTGTCGGCCTTATGGCATGTCGGCCTTTTGGCTGTCGGCCTTTTGTCCATGTCGGCCTTTTGTCCGTGTCGGCCTTTTGTCTTGTCGGCCTTTTGGATGTCGGCCTTTTGACCTACACCCAAATAAAAGATCTATTTATCGTTTTACGGTTAAAGGTCTAGATCTAATGGTTTTGAAAAAAATAAACCGGGAGTGATCTCCCCTAAACTTTCTCAAATATCTATATATATAATTCTCTTCTTGGAGACGCTAGAAAGCAAGTTGTAAGCGCGCTCCCTACCACCGCACCCCTACATGGTCTGGTGAGCTGTGGTTCACGCTAAATGTTTACATTCGTAGAGCCGGGTTTAGTGACAGCTATTAGGGGCAGATATTTAGTTTGAAACGATTGTAAACTTAGGGGAGGTAACTAAGAGGAGGCTGCTTTCACGGGGGGGGGGGGGGGGTGTAGGGTAGGGTAGGGGTTGGGGGAAAGGAGGGTGGGGGTAGTATCGTCCTTAACGACAAACTGATAGTGTTTTAAAGCAAATATTTTCAGTGGCAGCATTGGTACTGTCGAATTCACAAATTATGAATTACTGAAAAGTAGAAAATAAAACAACTAAATAGCGGCGTATGATATGCCGCGGGTCGGCTCGTTCTTATATAAAACAACAGGAGATGGGAACTCGAGATATAGTTATGATTTTTAATCCATTTTAAATACTTAAACTTTTTAAAATAGAATAGAATCTCATAGAAAAAAGAATTGCGCACCAAGCGAACGTCAAATAAAGATGTTTATAATAGTGCGCAATATTATTAGTACTTTATAAATTTACATGCGTTTTTTGAGAAATTGGAAATAGCATAAATTAGTACTTCCGGCAAACGGAAATTACTCAAGATTTGACAGAAGGTAGAGAATTAGATCTTTTACTTACATGTGAGATTTCATTTATCTATCTGAAATAGTACTCAAGTTATAGGCTTTTGAAAAATTCATAGTAGAAAAAGTACCACTTTCGGTTATCGGAAATCGCTCAAAAGTTGATAGGGATCTACGATTTTGATAAAATAATTATATATGAAATTTCATCAACCTAGCTGTAACGGTGCTCAAGTTATCGTGTTTACACACACAGACATACGGACAAGATTGCAAAATTATGTTTTTCCGTATCAGTGAGGTGTAAAACGTCGAGATTTGCAAAAATCTCGATTTTTTTTTTTTTTGCAAAATTACAAGACTTTCTATATACTTTCTATATACTTCGTATATACGAGAAAGAAAAAATTGAAACTAGATCTACATACCTATAAAATGTCACTAGTTTTATGCTAATGCTTAGATATCTAGAATGTTTGATAGAATAGCCTTAATATCTAATACTACTAGAATCTATATTTAGATCTAGATTAGAATCTACTATCTTAAAGAATATTTCAACCATCATTTAAAACCGAAAAGAAACAAATCACATTTCAAACATAAACTCATAAAAATGGTTGCCTGCACACAGCAAGCGAATAAAAAATTCAGTTACAATTATTTACGTGTGTAAGTTCATAACACGTACAACGCCATAGTATTTTAAAAAACCATTTTGGTCTGTAACAGTTTTTCTGTACTAGGCCATGCTAGGCTGTCGAGTTATTGCCCAATCTTCTGCAAGTACCAGGAGGTATTTTTAAAACCCTAGATAACTAACATTACACAGATCACGTTAAACAAGATTTTAATGCAGCCTTTTAAAAAAAAAACTTTTTAAGATTCAAAATAAATTATTTATTCATGCGCTTAGTGTATTTTTAAGTTAAAGATTTTTAATTTTTGCACTTTAGAAATGGCCAAAATTTGGCCTGAAATGCTTACAAAATGGCTAACAAACTTAACTAAATAAGCTTATGGTAGGGAACGTGTAACTCATGCTTTTAAAATAACGTATGTGATTTCATAATCTTTAAAGTTTCAACACAATGTCTTCTGGAGAAAATACGACGAATGGCCAGTTCTCTAACCAAAGATGGAACCATAATTCTGCGGCGGAAGGGAATACTAATAATTCTAGTCCAAGACCACCGAAAGTTATTACAGAAAGTCGAGTGCTAAGTTTAGTTAGAGAGCGTGATCAACAACAGCAACAACGTCAAAATTCAGAACCCCAGACAAAACCTGGTAATCAACTTATTATTATTAGCCTATGTAAAAAAAATATTATGGAATAACATTTCCATGTTACTAACAATTATTGCGGGAGGTCTAAGCCAGGTGATCTAGACATATGCCAATCTGGTAAAACTCCATTTTAGCGTATTTTATTCTCCACTTGTCGTTTACCTCCAGTCGAGCGTATTTTATTATAACAGCCGAAACACACCAAAACATTAGGAAAACACGATTTATATATTTGTATTGTATTTTTGTTTTAACAAATGAATTAAAACAACAAAGAGACTGACTGAATTGCTTTGTTTGTTGGTTACAAAAATAGAGATGCACACTTTGTACAAATAAGTGTTCCGATTTCAACTAAACTGAATAGAAGTATTAAAAGGCATAAGGGGTCGTCCATAAATGACGTCACACTCATAGAGGGGAGGGGGTTCCGTAATTTTGTGACGGTGTGTGATGAGGGGGAGGGTTCAGATTGTGCAACGTCACACTTTTGCATTGTAAAAAAGCAATGTTAGAAAACAAATTTTAGACGTTATTTCGCATTTTAGAAAACTGTTTTAATAAATTGTAATAGGAGTTGATTGAAATAATCTATTTTGACAAGATTTTAGAAAAATATCGATGTTTTAAAAAAAAATTTAACTGCAATTCAATTTTGTGTGTGTGGGGTGGAAGGTTGTAGGCTGAGGTGTGACGTCATTTTAGGGGGTCTGGGTTTTTTTGTGACGGAGGGGAGGGGGGAGGTAATAATCGTCAAGAAAGAAAAATAAAACCACTCGTGGTGTTTCCTATGTGAAAAAAATAAAATAAAGCACAACTGATTTACTTCGGATTCAAACTCTGAGCTTCTAGGTCACCTACTGCCTTGTTCTGTTTACTCTGCCACACCACGATGTATTGGTAATAAAATATTAGACATTTTGTATCAATAGACGGCTAAAAGGAAATAAATACTACTTCATTAATTGATATCGCTGTACGTAGTAACTACGTAAATTTACACACAATTCGTATATTTTTAACTAACACAACAGCAGTAACGAGGTTGTCCAAGTCTAAAAATAAAACATTGCCAGTAGGTCTAATTAGATCTAGCACAAAAAGGCACAGAATAAGCATTGTTTAAAATACAATACTTAGGCCTGATTAAAAACTACATATAATTTAATATAAATTATATAGACGGGTAGGCCACGAAGTATGTAGTATTTACAAGCTTAACGACCGGTCACGAACTATGTTCAATGAAACTAACAGTGCAGTCGGGCTACTTGCAGGGAAGAAAAAAAAATCAATATTCTAATAAAATTACTAATTCTTTAATACAATAATGATGTCCACAATTTTACATTTTCTGCTAATGCTACAACAGAATTATAATTAAAATACTAGACTTCACAGTTCATTCCGCAAAAAAAACAAAAAATTAGTTGTTGTTCATATCTCACCACTATCGCAACAAGGACGTAATGTTACTAAAAATAGCAGAGAAAAATTGTCACATGGTTACTCATGTGGGAATTGGATTTTGGAAAAAGTAAACTGCATTAATGTAATTAATCATGGTAAATATCTCAAATATATATTAAACTGTCTGGCGCTTTTGCCCGGTGGTCGGTCGTTTTTCGTTGCAGTTCATTTTTTCCTGAGAGTGCTCCACAAAAAATGCTTGTATTAATTAGAACTACATATCTCGCAAATTTTTCTGGCATTTTAAGGCATGGTATTCATTTTCTTAGCATCTCTCATTAAAATAATGATGAGATTTTGCGAGATTAGCAGTTTTCATTTGTCTTATATAGGACCCCCCCAAAAAAACTTAAAATACAAAAAAAAAAGGGACCGTGATGTTTCAGGGTCAGGTTCTGACTTCCGGTTTTGGTAACGAGACGAACTATTATAAGAGGCATTTAATATTAAAAATGTCTACGGCATGAAGCAATGTAGTCGAGGGAAGTGCGCAGCTGTCGTGCTGGAAGTTGCTGGTTTGAACCCATCAAATGCCTTCATACATTTGGCTGCTATTTTAATATTCATAACTTTGATTTTTTTCTGTTATTCATGAAAGGTTAAAAAAAATTCAAATTGTATAGGCTTACCTAGACCTATTCTAATAGCTATTTTTTCTAGTTAGTGACGTGATTGCAGGCATATTTGCTGAAAGAATAAAAATCACTAATGCTAGATTTTTGCTAAGAGAGGGGAAAAAAATATAAAATATGATGGAAATGGATCTATTAGGCCATATTCATCATATTGGCCTAACTGATTAAAACTAATTTAAAATGGGCATATTTCATTGACAGTTGAATAGCATTGTGCACTGCTAAAGGTAATGATGCATTATTATTAGGCCTAATTAAAACATTAGGACACTATCAAACCCTCGATAATTATTATATCTTTAGAGTGCATGGTTTACAAACGTAAAGCTTATTACTTTTTCTCATAAAAATACAACAGAATAAATAATAGCACTGCTAGCACTGTTTTCTTAAATATATCTTATTTTCAAGTCACTTTAAATGCTTTTGTTATTGTAAGAAATCATTGCATGAAATAATAGCCGTATTGGGGTTAAGTTGAAGTTGTTAAAATTGTTTATCAGGGGGCTTAACTAATATTAACTTTGTGTATCCCTATAATTGCCCTGTAATGTAAATAATGTATATGGACTGTCTGTGTCTCATTAACAAAATTATATTTTATCCTAATTTAACCTATACCATTGCAAAGTAGAGGCCATTTTCTGCAGTGCAGAAATGATCTCAAACTAAAACATTGGTTGGACGACTAAGAAAACTAGTTATTATAAATTTTTAGTTAAAAGTTACTACTGAAACTTAAAACTACTACCTTGGCTCAGCTTTTTTCATTTCACTTATTGTCCATGGAATTATTACCTAGAAAATGATACTTTTTATTTATTGTTAAACCTTAACAAAATTAATGTATCATTATTTTAACTTAACTATAAAGCTGACACCAAGTGGTTAGAAAGTATAATGAATATGAGCATGGCAAGTCAAATAGAGCCTTAAATATAAGTCTAGTGTAAGATTTTCGGTTGTTAGGTTAGGTTTCGGTTTACAATTTTTGCTTATATTGTGGTGTGGATCTTGATTTCGCTTATGATCGGTCTATATTTTGTTAATTAGTTGCTAGAAAGTCCCATTTTAAATCAGTAAAGAATTAATTGTATGATTTACAGATCTCTTCATCATCATAAAAAAAAAAACTAATTAAATAAATGTATGGTAAATGTCATGACCACAAACTTAAATGCTAATTAAATCCTCTAATTGTAAGTAAACTTAGTCAGCTATAGCTTTTGTTTCTTATTTTGCAGATTACTCTCAGCCACCACCATCAGCAAGTAATTTTGTGCCACCAGCTGCATATCCACAACCATTGACACTCCCTGAAATCAAAAGCCAAAAGCTATCTGCAGATGCTAAAGAATTTGTTCCTCGGGCACAGGTTTATTTTTCTTATGATTTTATGCATCTTGTTGAGCCTGCTAGTCAAGTCACTTGGTGTTGTTGCCAACAGAAATCTTTCTGTTTTACTTTTTATCACATAAATAAATTTCTGTTTTACTTTTTATCACATAAATAAATGCTCAGTGGCACAGACCAGTTTTTTTTTTTTGCTGACTTTAATAAGGGGCAAATAAATTTGTCAAATATTTTTTTTTTCCTGGCTTGAAATTATATTTAATATACTACTATAGGTAATTGAAGTAAAAGTTAAAAATAATTTGAACAAGAAGAAAAGTTGACAAGTTGATATAGAATTTGCACAATGTGTAATTTGAAAGCTGGAAGATGATTGAAGTTATGCTGGTAATTTTGGATTTAAAAAAAAGTGTACAACTGGAACAGTTTGGAACTTTTTTTTTCTTCCCATTTTTCTAGCCCGTTTATCAGTCGGAGCATTATGACAGCTCGCAGTATAACTCAGATGACTCCTATGGCTTGTCGGTTAGTGCTGAAGAATTTGTGCCTAGAGGCCCAGAAGAGTATAACTCTTTTGACCAATGTTATCAAGTATGTGTTCCAGTAGCCCATTTCTAAAGCCATATTTGTTTTTGTAAATAGGGAAAGAATTGGATTAAAAGTTTAAAATTTCAAAGTAAATCTCAGTGCATGTTTTAAGTAGCCATTCAGGTATAATGATAGATGCGTTCTAAGTTTGCTTTTGAACATTCATAAAGAAACAATGTAAATGGTTGCTGTAGAAGATAACTTACTGGAACCATATTTTTTAAACACATTTACAAAATTGTTATTTGTTCATCAGATTGCTAATTTAAGTTTCTATACTTTTTTTTTAGAATTACTCTTATGAAGTTGACAATACAAGCTATTACTTCAACCAAATGAACCTGCAAGACTCTGACTACTCTGAATATTCAACATATGACGCACCATCAGAAAGCACTGGTAACCCTATTTTAGATAGGTTTAACCACTCTTTGTATGTACTGAACATGCATCCAGGAAACATGGAAGATTACTTGCGCCCTGTGTGTGAAATGATTCAGCGCAATCCCCAATGTACAGACATTGTAAATGACATGGTTGAGAATTTGTTTAAGCAGGTTTGTTTTGAATTTATGTTGACTCAATTGTTAACAGAGTATACTTCACCTTGTTGACGATATTTTTAATACCAGTTTACAACCTGTAATATGTTAATACTTGTGCAGTAAGTGGTACATGTGAATCAGTTAAAATCTTTTAATAACTGGGAAATATATAAAAATTTACCAGTTGCATTATTTTGAGAATAATGAGCTTTCCAGGTTCCATCTTTTTATTACGAAATATTATTTCAGTTAAAAAAATATTGTGCACAATTTAAAAAAAATTATTTTTAAAATGAACTCTTATTTTTGTCACAATTTTTAACTACTAAATATCTTTAAAACTGTAATGTCTTCATTCCAGAGTATTCAAGAGCAAAACTTTCGCTATACTGGTGCAAGAATTTGTCAGTATCTCACCAGCAATTTAAAAAGCAATCCTTCATTTTCGGGATTTAATAAAATTTTTATGAAAAGGTTAGATCTTATTAAAATCATTTAGCTTGTTATTGCTAATTAAACTACGCTTGGAGCAATGAATTACCTCTTTTTATATATTATTTTTTTTCAGATGTCAGGCAGAGTATGCCAAACGTGCAGATTTTATTCAGGGCGGTCGTGAGGATCAGGATAGACTGAGAGGATTATCAATGTTCATGGCTGAAATTTTCCTAAATGTAGAAGTAAGAAAGAGTTGGTCTAATTAAAAAAGCTATTTAACTTTATTATTTTTTTTTTATTTATACATTTGCTTTACCTCATCAGCAAGTGTCCTATTTAGTTCAATCATTATCACATTAACAAGTGTTAGATTCCTATTTAGGAAACTTTAGTTAGTGCTAGGTTTTAATTTTTTGTTCAAAATTATAAAACTCCCGTCCATGCTCTTTTGTTTTGCTACAGTTTGTTATTCTCTTTGACAACTACACGTTTTTACTAAAAAAATTAGGTGGAAACTCCTGATGGCAGTCACCAGCCTCTTCAATTTCTTCCTGACATTCTAATGGACTTGATCCAGACTTTGCTTTCTAAACCCACTGAGCAGAATGTGAAATGTTCATGCCATATGCTGAAGGTAAATTTTGGTGTTGCCAAGTAGGGGCCTACCCAATCTATGTTTATAATCTCAGTTAATCATGGGTCTCTTAAAAATTTACAGGTAGCTTACATTTTTTTATATCGGTTGATATCTTTAGCATAGTCACAGTTTATAGCTAAATTTGATGTTTTTATCCAGTTAATAATTTATGTATTAATTACCAGTTGTCTGGAAGTCTGATGGATAATGTTGTAAAAAACAATCCAGTACAGTGTGGGAAATTTGTCAGCATTTTTGATAGTCTTAAGTCATTACAACAGAGTCCTGATTTACCTGAGTAAGTTATTAACTTGCAGTATTTTAACTAACGCAGTGTTAGAATATTTGGGTTGGGGTGGTTGAGTCTATAAAGCTCATGATTTCTTAACCAAAAAGTCTAAATTGAAACCCCGGACAGAAGAGGCTCGATAGCTGGGGACAGCAACTTTTCTAGGAGAGTCAACTCCAAATTCAACCAACAGCTGCCTTGTATTTTGTTATTGGTTGGACACAGGCTATTGAAGCAAGTCCAAAAAGAAAAGCAGGTTGAAATTGGAGCCAACTGCCTGTATGGCACAAAACAAGTTGATACTTAATACTTATTTGTGTTGGAGGGAATCCCTTCCAATATTAAGAATGAAGAAGAAATTCAAAACCTTTTTTAATACATGTTAAACATTATGACTAGTTATTGTTATGCTTTTAGGAATGTTAAACTGCTTATTGGAAGTGTCATAAAACTGAGAGATGGTGAATGGAACAGAACTTCATCTTCTCCACCAAAAAAAGCTTTTCAATTTACATCAGACACTAATAATTTACAGGTAAATGCACGAGTTATATTTAAAGTTAACCCACAGTTTTCTAATAGCATTAGGAGTTTTGAATATTTTCATGATATTAAGTTTACAAATACTTTTCTTTGTATATTAGGGCCTCGAGCCAGTTTTCTATAACCATGATGGCAGTATATGCAGTCGAAGAGAGGCAGGTTTACCTGATGAAGAAACAGAGGAAGGTGCATATGTCCTGAATGAAGAGGAAGAGGAAGCTTTCTTGCAGTGGCAAGCTGAACAAGATGGGTTAACAGGAGAGGCTGGACCATGGAATTACAATGATACTGGCTATGAATCTTATCAGCTGTAAGTTGTTTTTTTTTACCTAAAAAAATTAAAAATATAAATAGTTTTCTAAAATTAAAAACTTTTTAATGTGTTTTAGGAACGGGAATAAATGTTGAGTATAAAACTTTTTCTTTAAACTAATGCAGTTTGACATTGCCGGCAGTAAAAATAAATATAGCAAAGACAGCCTAAATAGTTTCAGAAATCTAAAAATATTTTTGTTTATATTTTCAATGTGCTCTTTGTATCCTCTTTTCTCAGTGTGAGTTTAAGATTTTATAGCTCTGTCTTTGATTTAACCACATAAAGTTCTGTCATTGCTGAAAGTGACCATCCTTTGCAGTTAATTTTCTGTAAAGAATTCTCATCTCGCAGCAGTTACTTTGTCTCTGTTCCCTTTGAGTATACTACATAGATTTTAATGTGTAGGATGATGCTTTATTTCAGTGATGATGTCAACGATGATGGAGGGATGGGGGATGAAGTGGAGGCTGCTTATGAAGAGTTTCTGCAGGAACAGAATTATATTCAGAGTTATCAGCCTCCCCCTCCTCCAAACCCACACATAATCCCACAGTCTCAGCCACCAATTATTCCTCATCAAATGCATCCCGGTTTCCCGGTAAATATAATAGGTGTAATTTTCTAATATAGATGAATGTTTAAAGAATTTTTCTACCGCCAATCAAGTTAATCAACTCAAATTTAAAAAATTTAAAGTTTTTCCAAATTAAAATTTCCAAGTCACTGATGTCTATTAAATAGCGCCATTAGTAAATTTTTTTAATATATCTTGCAATAACATTAATTTTAAAAATATAGTTCTATTTTAGTAATAGATGACATCTCATTTTACAGCCATTGCCAATGAATTACTATGGCATGCCACCCAATGCTCAGCCTATGCACCCACCAATGATGCAACCAAATCAGCTGCCTCCCAACCTGGATCAGCAACAACAACCATCTCAGTATCCTTACAACAACAGCAATGACCCTTATCATTACCACAGGTGATAAGCTCTGGGTTGCTCACACGCTGAAGCTGTTATCTAAAAAGCACTGCTCGTTTTTTTTCTCTTATGTTCTTGTGCTGGTATTATGTATTTCCATTTTGTTCTTCTTGTCTGTGTTCAAGTGCTATGCTTCAAAAGTTCATTAGTGCTCGCAGAACTATTGGAAATGGTTTATTTACCTTTCACAGGGTGTGCACAAAGCATAATTGTTTATTTGAATGGGGCGTACGTATTGTAGATTTGGAGGCGTACATAGTGCAGATATTGGGGGTTATAGACAGGTTGAAATGAACTAGTGCAGAGGTAATTGTTATAATTAGTTTTTTTTGTTTAACCAGACATGTATTTTTTTGTTTATATGGTTGCCTCTAGTCTGCAAGTTGAAAGCATTTTTTTCTGTAGATTGATATGTTCATTTATTTAGATTTAAAAGAAAATCAAAATCTTAAATAAGCTAAGCTTGTATGTCAGTAATCTGATCTAGATTTAATTTATAAATTGATAATTCAAATCCAGCTTTCTGTTTAAAAAAAAAACTTAAGATTATTTTTTTAGAGAAGTCATTGTTATAGTGCATGCAGATGCTATTTTATAATGTTGTGTGATGAAAAAATTAACACACTGTCATAAACTATGCTATTGTAAACTCAGGTTGTTAAGTAATGTATAGTTTACCAAACCAGATCTAAATTTATCAAAGTTGTTCTACTTACTGTGCCTATTAAGTTTTTAAAAATTTACCCTGATTTGGCTACAACTGAACAAGCAATATATAGTTTGATCTGGATTTTTTTTTTAGATTTAAAATGTGTAATTTGTTAAATTAATTTTAACAACCTGTATAGTTGATAAAAGTCTTGTTAATTTTAATTGTATTATAGGCTTGTATTTTATATGCTATTAATTTTTTATTATGAATGCCATATGTATCAGGAAAAGATGAATAATACTTAAGAAACTGCCATCATTCAGATAATTGTTTAGTCATTTTCACCCTCCCTATGCTTGCCCCCTGTGATATTATTTTTCCTCGCATTTATTTATATACCAAAATAAAACCAAACTGGCAGCTTATACACTTTTAAACTCTGATGTAATAATAAGCACAATAAAACAAGTCTCAGAGTTTAAGTTCACTGCTAAATTACTTTTGCATAATATATATATTTTTAGATATTATTTTAGCTCATTTATTCACCTTTTTTATTAAAATTAATCAAACGTAAATTCTGTTTCTTCTAAAAATTATTTATTAAAGCATGAACTTCTTACAAGAGGCTTGTCTTGTGGTGCTTATAATACAATTGAGATTATGTACACATATTTTGTTTAAAAAACATCTAATAAAGGACAAAAAAATACAAAAAATTTCATCATAAAAAAATAATAAAAATCATGAGAGAAAAATTAAAAAAAAAAGACAAAGAAATGAAAGAAGAAAAAAATAAATAAAATTACTGTAAAAAGTGTTACGTTTCTTGTATTGGAAATGTTTTAAAGATCTACATATGGGAGTCTGTAATTCATTTTCTTATATATTCTTTTTTTTTTTTGTAAGTTATAATTATTACGAATTCATTTTTATTGTTTAAAATTACGTTGGTTAATTCAGTGTGCTGCAATATTGTTATGTTTGTTGCTCCCCTCCCCCCAGTTCTTGATGCCTACAGGCTCTAGTGCACTATGGTTAAGAATGTTTAGAAACCTGGGTTTGATAAAAGAAGACTGACGTACTTGTAGGAATGTAAAGAAATTAAACTTTCTGTAACAAGCTGTGTAAAAGGTAAAAATGTTAATGTTGGGCATTAAATGGTGAAGTCTATGTTGTCCTCAGTCGTTATTTTTTTTCGTTTTGGTTTGTTATTTTGTCATGCTGTCCATGATTCCATAAATAAAAAAAAATAGTTATAGTTAGTTGTCATTTGTTTATGGAGAGTTAATTTTTTTAGGTTAAGCTTGTTTGCTTTGGTTTTTTAGGAGTCCTAAGGCATCGTTCGTCCATAAGCCTACCCAATGCAATGCATGGTCTCTTATACAAAGTGATGCAGAATATTTAAACTTAGTGTTAATTTTTAGCCATGTTAACTAAAAGAAGGGACAACACTCATGTTACTCCCAGATTTACGGGTAGCCTCCCTTGGTTTATAATCTATCAATGTATCATTTCGAACTTGGAGGTCGGTTGATTTTAAATAGGGCCACTGGAGAGTACTTGACTATACATAAATATAATGACAGACTGAATATGTACACGTTGTTCAGTTGAAGGGGGGGGGGATAAATAAAGGCTAAATGGGTTAATACTAACAGTTATTCTTTTTTGTTGAAATCTACAGTAGAATTCTCTGAAGTTCTGGTCTTTAATGTTAAAGCCATACCAGATTGTTGTTTCTGTTGATGAGATCTTTACACACATGGCTAGCGGTGTGTACAAGATTAGTGGGGGGGGGGGAGGATAAAAATTACATGTAGGATATTTGTTAAAACTCTTTCTTAATGCTACGTTTATTGGGGGGGGGGGGGGGGGTAATAGATCTGTGATGTAAGGGTGAAAATCGGTCACAAGGAAGTGACGTAATTCGAGCCTATTGATATTAGTATTTTTGGTACGGCCCTTGACTACCTTCTTGTAAGGCTAGTACAAATACTATGCTACTGATATAAACTAACTAGAACTTGTCTCACTACTAAAACCTTCACGGTAGTTCTAAACCTAACTTTAATGTGGCTCATCGATTAGCACTTGTATACTCCCTATGGTGGCTCATTTGGAAAAAAATAATATTCATTGGTTTTGATAAGCACTTAGCTTAAGAAAACATCACTTCGCCCTGTGATCAATAGAACAGGAGTTGAACACAGTCGGTCGCAAGAACACCCACTGGGAAGGAATTAAAAACAAATTATGCATTACAAGAAAAATAAAACGGCGTAAAATTTGTTATGACCCCGTTGAAGGTGAGTCCACCCATGGAAATATTTTCGTTAATAATGATTTAATATAATGATCGTGAACACATTTTTAATTAGTTACTTAAAAAACTTCGCACAGCCGATTATTTTCATTAACCAGAATACTGTAATGTGAAAGCGCAAAGGTTAATGATTAAAAAATATATCAGCCAATCAGCGGATAACCTTAACAAGAAATTCTATCTAAAAAATTGTTTTCATAAAAACTACATGTTGTATAGCTATGTAGTAGCCCAAGCACCAAATTTATAACCTAATGGTAAGAGAAAGTAGCTTTATTTGATTTAAATGTTTAACATCCTGAGTTATCTCATTTCATCAAATTTTAAATTGTAGGCTATCTAAAATTTCTAGACCTTAGACCTTTTCCTCTTTGTCATATTTATTTACCTTTATTTATCAGAACCTACTTTTTGAAAGTTAGCTGTCTTCTGTCAAGAGCTTGTTTAAAAAAAAAAAAAAAAAAACGCACTGAAGGTGAAAAAAAGTGCTCGCGAACTGCAGAAAGTCAGACTGGCAAGTCAGGACAGGCCACCTTGTTCTACCTCCACGGTGCAACCTGGCAAGTTCGAAGCCTTTTGATATCGCCTTTTGAAATTGTCATGCAGAAGGAAACCGGCATTATCTCGTTAGGCGAGTTCAATTGGAAAGGGTTGGAGGGTAACACATCACATCATCCATGCCCGTAGTTCGAACGATTTTTTTTTATAGGTGTTAGGGGGGATACAGTGTTAGAGCGCAATGATACAGTATTTTCATGTATAGAATCGAGAAACGGTAGGCTTGTTATGCTGGAAACGGAACTTGGAGGAAATTAGACATACCATATTTTGTGTTTGCTGTAAGAAGAAAAAAAAAAAGACAGAAATGTAATCTTAAAATATCACCCAAATAATTTTTTATTGGTCTATGCTAACAACGCCCTGTGGTATAGTGACGTCACATGCAAGGGGTGTGGGGGGTGGGGGTGGGGTAGAGGGATCTTTATCCTACACATAGACATAGCACATGAGTTTATTTTTGTGATACAATTTTATAGGTTTTAATTAACAAATGCACTGTGCTTAAAAATGAGCTTCCCACATTTTAGAAGTAATAGCAGATTTTTCTAGAACTTACGCCTTTGGAGATGAGGGCAGCCAAGTAAATTTAAAAATATAAGCTCTTTAGTTAAAGGAGAGAAACAACAATGTTATAATCCGTTGGAGGATTAAGTATGCGTGGAGCCTCTTGACTAAAATGATCATGTAGACCTTCTTTGTATACACACACACACACACACACACTCACACACACACATATATATATATGCAGTGGCGTAGCGAGGTCGGGTGTCACCCGGTGCGGAACTTAATGGTGTCACCCCTTCCCAGGGACAAACTTTCAATTTTCGATTTGCACCCCCCCCCCCCTCAAACTTTTGATTTGCACCTCTTAAAACACTATTTAATGGTCTCACCCGGTGCGAACCTAGGGGTTCGCACCCCCAGCCCCCCCCTCGCTACGCCTCTGTATATATGTATATATATATATGTATATAATATAGTCTCCTATGTTATGAATTTGTTTTTAGCTTTACTTTAACTTATTCAGAAAATAAATATGTTAATAATGCTCTTGTAAAACAGTTGGGGAAGAACGTATTTATTTGAAGTACACGTCTTTGCTAGTTGAGAACCACCGCAGATGTTAAATTTTCAGTTAGTTTATACAGGACAAGCCAGTCTAGAATAGGGCTGAGCCGCCGAGAGTAACCGTGAGTTATGACAACAGGGATTGTATTGGATGGAATACAGTGGTTCTGATTCTATGAGACAAAAAATACTAGAGCATCGATTTAATTAAAAAGTGTTCATTTTTGTTGCATTGTACGTGGCATAAATACACGACCGTGAAAGCGGTTTAGAGTAACAATCTGGGCTGGTAGACTGTAGTTAGTTGTTAGCTGGCCATTCGTTGGCTATTCGTAGTCAGAATAGCATTCCCCCGATCAAAATTAAAATATATATAGTAATATATACTTTACAGGTGTCCGTCCCCCCGTCCCCCCTCGGAAAATGTAGTCAATAGTGGGTAGAAACTAGACCTTCAAGACAAGTCTAAGGCGGAAGTCGTAGGTTTAAATCTGAATATGGTTTCTTCCTACCTGTTGGTTTTAAAATTATGTAAATGTAGCTTTAATTTGTATGGTTTTGGGTTAGCGATTTTATTGTTGTATGTTGGTGGTTTACCTATTATATGCAGTTTATAATACGGGGATTTAGCTGTTGTAGGTGGATTGTTCTATTGTTGTGTGTTGGTGATTTGCGTGTAGTATGTTGGCGATTTGTTGTATGTTGGTGATTTGGTGCATGTTTGTGATTTGACTGTTGTACGTTGGTGATTTGAACATATGTTGTATGCTGTTGATATGACTGATGCATGTTGGTGATCGAAATGTTATTAAATTTATTATTTTGGCAAAGGTAATATCGTAATATGTTATTTATTTAATTGTTGGATGCTGGTATATATAATTGTTGGTTGCTAGTGATTTAATTTTTGGATGCTGGTAATATATTTGTAGCATGTTGGTGATATAATTGTTGGATGTTGGTGATATAATTGTTAGATGCTGGTTATCTACTAAGGGGGCTTAATAAAACCTCTTTGAGAACCACTGATGCCGAGGGAGACAGGTCGGATGTAAAACATCTGACGCTACTTTTGTTTATTTATTATGTCATCCTCCACCCGAGTTCCGGCACCAGAAGACTAGACACGTGACTCGCACATCAAAACCTGGAACGAAAAAGAATACGGAACATATCATATCTTTTGTGGCTTTATATCAAAACGAATACCGTTAGACGTTTTTTTTTTTTTTTTAATTTTTTTAGTCTGTTGATATGTTAAAGATTACTAGATCTTAAAAATTAGTTTTTAAATAAATTTACATCGTTTTCCTGTGTTTTATACAAAGACTGTTTTAGTATGAACTCAATTGGTATTTTTTTAGATCACCAAAAATTATAAAAGTCTTTAAATGCGCCCCCCCACCAAAAAAAAAAAGAAAAGAAATGCACCCCTACCTCCAATGTTTATTACAAACAGCATGTTCCATGTTAATGGAAGTTGTCAAAAATACATTCGTTACTTGGGCTAGGGAGCGCCCGGGGGTGCATAACCCCACCCCCTTCCATAAAAAAACCCTCTTTTTTCGTCACACGTAAAGTGACGTGAAAGTGTTCCAACTTTACCACGTAACATTTGCTACCCCCACCTCCCTATCATTCTAAACACAGCGTCATAGAATTCTTTTCCCCCTAATAAGAAACGTGGTGCCATTTATGAACGCTTCCTACTGATTTTTATGGAATCGTTGCACAGGTTTCTGTACTTGTAAAGTTGGGGGCCGCTCTCGTGGGATTCGATCCAGGTCAGAAGGAAATATGAACAATTGCACCGGCCCTAGGGACAGAACCACGGAATGTTGGGTACAAGTATTCGACCTTCGAACTTTAGCCTGGTTTATTATTTTTAGGTGAGACGATAGAATGGCTTTATCGTGAGTCGGACGGGAGGTAACTCGGAATAACGGTGACGTCATCACGGCGGGAGAGAGACGGGCGTTTTGTTGGCGAACGGATGTTTCCAGATTTTCTTTAGCCAGTAGACAGGCATGACAGTGTTGTCAGAGATCTGTTTGAAACTAGCAGGATTTTAATTTAAATGTCAAGCCCTCGATAGTGGGGCGCAGGATAAACTGCTGTTAAAATAAAATAAATTTTTCAATTATTTTAATGAATGTATACCATTGATTTGAATTATGACCCCCCCCACCCCCGTTTCTTTCAGGCATTTCTCCGTGGAGTACTGCCCCCTTTCCTTACCTACTGTTTAACCGTTTCAAAATAAAGTTTGTTATTATTATTATTACCCAGTATTTCTTCCAGTGGGGGGGGGGGGGCACTTTAACATTTTCGGGGGCGGGTGGGGGGGGGGGGCGGAGCCTGGAAGAAACTCTGTTATTACCCCCGGACGAATTAGGAAAAAAATTCAATTTATATAGAAAATATGGGTCTATACTTAAACCATTGTCTGCTCCGCCGGGAGGTCAAAGTGCCCCTTCCTCGAAGAAAAATGCCTGAAACAAACCCTTCCCCCACATACAACATCTCAAGTCATTATTTGCTGTATAGAATTGGGAGGATTAGCTATTAATAATCCTGTACACAAAAGCAAAGGACAACTGTTGTTTTAAAAATTCAACCTGCTAGACTCGTAGAGAAGTCTAAAATAAATGTGGTGAACTTCTAAACTCGATTAACACCTTGTATGCATTGTTGAAGAATGTGTGTAGAGTAATGGCAAGGGCAATGCTCGTTGTGTTTACCTCCCTTGACTATTCGAATCAGAATTTGGGTGATCTCATAGAAATTCTAAGGTCCTATATCATCAGAATTTGGTTGATCTCATAGACATTCTAAGGTCCTATATCATCAGAATTTGGGTGATCTCATAGGCAATGTAAACTTTAACCCTAACATAACCAGATTATGAGTGATCTAAAATTTCGCCACTGGAATCATTAACCCTATAACCATCAGAGCTAGAAAATGTTTCACGACTACAATTTTTGCCACACACTTTTGAAAGGTTTATTTTCGGTAATTAAAAAAAAAAGCTTATATTATGTTTGTAATTTAAGAATTAATTTCTCGTATTTTAACCTAATGTAAATATGTAAACAGCCTAGAACAATATTATAAAATTAACAAATGCTGATACATGGAAACTGATTTTGGAAATTATTTTCTTGAACGCTCATTCAAAAATAAAATAAAATAAAACTGAGACATTCGTCATGTAACATTTGAAGCTCACACGGCGTAGACAACCAATCAGAGAAGGTCCTACGACTTAGACACCCAGTCAATAAAGGTCTCAAGACGTAGTCGTTCAGTCAACAAAGGTCCCTTGACATCAAGACATAGTCAACAAACGTCCCACGACAGACACCCAGTTAACGAAGGTCTAATGACGTTGGAACCCAGTCAACAAAAGTAGTCACCTGGTCAACAAAGGTCTCGTGACGTAGACACCACCCAGCCCACACTTGTCAAAGGTCAAATGACACAGACACCCAGTCTACAAAAGTCTCATGACAATGTTGTGAGACCCCGAGGAAGGAAGAGGGCGTTGTTGTTTGCCTACCGGTCTGGTTGTCTTGGCAACATGTATTTCACGCCGCGTGACCCCCAAAACAAGGAACAAGGTCAAGGTGTCCAAACAGAAGGCGATGACTCCTCGAGCAGAAGACCCACTGGCGCGCATGTCAAAACATGTCACGTGGGATGACCTCACAAGGAAATCAGCAGCATGTGGTAGAAGATGCTCCAGATTTTGATTTCATTCTAGCAGATGTCAAGTTTCTCAAGATCGCCCCCCCCCTCCAATTTTTATAACAAGTTTTATATATTCCCAACACAAAAAAAAGTTTGGCGAACTTTCCTGGTGTTATTCTTGGACCATGACTTCAAAAAACACGGCTTAAGAAAATTTTATCTTTTCTACCTTGTTTTGTGTTTGTTCTTATTGTTAATAATTCCTGTGGTACAACATCAGCTGAGTCATAAGATTGGTTTAGATGATTCGTGGGTGTATTAGGTCAACTGGGGTGATGGAGGGGGGAGGGCAAAGAGGTGATAGTGTTGAATTTTGGCATTGGATTCTGGTTAGCTAGACTTTAATACCTTTACATTAACTATACAGGTTAGTTTGTAGAACTGTTTATTGAAATATGAAGTGTTTTTTTTCTAAATGTATAGTAAACTACAACTGTCAAATGATATAATAGGTGAAGTAGAAAGAAAATTACTGTTTTAAAAGGAGATAATGTTCATTTACCCCATATCACTGTTATCACTCCAGTTTTTGCTCTTTTAAAAAAAATGTTTTTGTATTTACAATTTTTAAAATTAAGCTTCGAGTCAATCGCCTAATTGGACAAATTTTAATTTTATGTCAAAAAATACATTACTAACATGATACATTTTTTCTCCGTTATTTATTTCAAGCCTAAGTAAAGAGTTGCAGTTTAAAAATATCAACACACCAACCACTTGTGCAAAGAAAGTATAGATATGTGCTTTATTAATATGGTTCAGATATGTGCTTTATTAATATGGTTCAGATATGTGCTTTATTAATATGGTTCAAATATGTGCTTTATTAATATGGTTCAGATATTGCTTTATTAATATGGTTCAGATATGTGCTTTATTAATATGGTTCAAATATTGCTTTATTAATATGGTTCAGATATATGCTTTATTAATATGGTTCAGATATTGCTTTATTAATATGGTTCAGATATGTGCTTCATAAATATGATTGCAGAAGAAGTGTGTGTGTGTGTATGTGTGTGTTTGAGTGAGCTACTGTTAGTTTCTATATATAAGATGTCACTCACAACTGGCTCAATATTTAAAATGAAATAAAAAGCCGCACATTCCCATTGTTCTAAATGTGCTAATGTCCTCACGATCGCACAATGTTGCATCGATCAAGTTCAGCCAACCGTGACCCGCTGTTTCTGTTTTAATGATCGGAGCAACAGCGGATGCAATCATTAAAATACAACCGTGGTCTCAACGCTGAGAGGGAGGTGATGCTGTTACCTACACATCATCGCAATGTTGGCTGTAGTCAAGTAAACGTAATGTTACACTACATCCCATTGATAGGAGTAACATAGCAAATTTGATGTTACATAACGTCTCAATGTTGGCAGTTGTCTAGTACATGTGGTGTTACACTACATCCCATTGATAGGGGTCACATAGCAAATTGGATGTTACATAACGTCTCAATGTCAAGGATTTTCTAGTAAATGTAGTATTACACTACATTTTGATGTTAGGGGTATCTAGTAGATCCGTTATGTTATCAATATTATGTGTATTTAAAAAAATTGCGAAAAGTTATTCAAAAATAAATGATATTTTAATCTATGCGTAGTAAGATGGCAGCTCGTACGAAAGTCTCGAGTTCGAATCCCAGGCTCCAGTATGTAGGACGTCATTGAGTCCACCCACCTCTGATGGGTACCTAACTCACATTAAGGAAACACAGGCGGCTGGCATATGCTGACCCCATTATGCCTCAAATGTTGAAGTCCTTGTAAGAGCTTAATTCTCCTTAATCTGCCCCATGTGCCTATGGTACGAGCTGGAAAAGACGATGATACATGAATGCCTTACATACGGGACGTCGTGGTTGAATGGTAGCGTGTACCGACTACTAACCCGAAAGTCTAGAGTTCGTACTTCCCTGAGTCCACCACACAAATATTCTTGATGCTATTTGCTTCAATTAAAGTTATAATTTTTTTTTTTAAATGTAGGCCTACACTATTTGAAAACTGAGTACAAATTATATTCGAATGACACTCGTCTGTCTGTACAATTATAAAGTAGCATATTACTTGTAACTCAAGCTGATGGGAACCGCGTTGCCCAATCAAATATAATTGCGGTATTTAGTCCAACCCAAGCTACACGGCCATGACACGTCTAACACAGTCGCGAGACGAGCTAATAATCTCCAACCACCAAAAATCGAATGTGTATGGGCTGGCAATGTGTTGTTTTTCTCATAAAGCAACTACTCGCAGCGTGCAGCTGTTGGTTGTGTTCTGCGTCAACCTTCGATGTAAAGAATTTGGTTGGTTGGATTTTTACTTTTAAATAGTGAGTAATTTGATACACAGGTGAGCTGGTAAATATGTTTTTTCTCAACCGATGGCCCTTAGGATGGATAAAGTTGATAAGTTACTCGAATCACGGTGGAGAGATACTGGCAGTATATTGTTGTGTTACTTTTACTTTACCTGAATTAGATTCTAGTTCCGGTTCGGGCACAATGAAAGGAACTTGATAGCTTTGAGTTAGTAGTACAGCGCTCTACCACTGCACCATGTTATTATTGTACTAGCACATAGGTAGCTAGGGACGGTGTGGTCGAATGGTAGAGCATTCGACTGCTAACCCAAGTTCGGATCCCGTGTTAAAGTCCGTACGACGTCATTGAGTCTACCCAGCTCTAATGGGTACCTAACTCACGTTTGGGAAAATAAAGATGGCTGGGTATAGTGTTGAGCACACTATCCCTTCATATGGCAAGGTCACTGAAACACTACTTCACCTGTCTCATGTTCGTAAGGGTACTTTACTCATTTACGTGTAGCCTTAACAGTCCAGTTTGTTGATAGGTTAGATAAAACCGTTCAGACAGTGGTGTAGACAGGGTGGTTGGTGTCTCTGGGGGTTATAACCAGTTTTTCTTTCAGACTTTTTCTCCGGGGAGGGGGATCACTTAAAATTTTCGAGGGCTGGAGTGGGGGACTAGTTTTCCGGGAGGCGGATTTTAAATGGTAAAAGTGCTTGTGAAATTTCAAATTCTTGTACTTAAGCAAATCTTGTTTGCCGTGTGCAGTGCCCGTGATAAAAGTTGGTATTAATACTAATGCTACTGGTATTTTAAAGCGGTACTTTAAAAAATAATAATTTATACATAATAATATACATTTCTGTAATTTTATTTTCAGTAGGAGGCAAATAAGAATGGATCACATACAACGTAGGATTGATCCAAACAGGGTTCTGTGAAACACTTAAACATGACGACAAATATTTTGCTTATTTTAAAGCAAATGTGACATTTTCATCTTTATGCATAAGTCATTTATGTTGATGTGAAAGTCAATTTGTAAGTTGAATAATGCATCAGTGACAATAGTAAGAGCTGTCATTGATAAGTGACAATAGGAGGAGCCGTCACTGACAAGTGACATTAGTGGGAGCCGTCATTGACAAGTGACATAAGGAGCCATCACTTACATGTGACAGTAGGAGTCGTCACTGGAGCCGTCACTGACAAGAGACAGGAGAAGGAACAGTCACTGACAAGTGACAGTAGGAGCCGTCACTGACAAGTGACAGTAAGAACCGTCACTGACAAGTGACAGTAGGAGCCGTCACTGACAAGTGACAGTAAGAGCCGTCACTGACAAGTGACAGTAGGAGCCGTCACTGACAAGTGACAGTAGGAGCCGTCACTGACAAGTGACAGTAGGAGCCGTCACTGACAAGTGACAGTAAGAGCCATCACTGACAAGTGACAGGGCTGTACACGAGAGAGAGAGAGAGAGAGAGAGAGAGAGAGAGAGAGACAAGCCCACCGGATGTTCCTCTGACGCATCACCATGACAACGCGATGCAAAGTCTCCGAGCCGTGCCTGAGCGACACGGCCCTGGGGTTCATCGTGCTGGGCACGGTCCTGGTCCTCCTCTCCTTCTTCTGGCCGGCCGACCCCAACTACACGCTGGACATGTCCGTCTCGGCCCAGCAGAACGAGCAGCAGGCCCTGGCTCACCAGCGGCTCATGACGACCCTCTACTCCATCGCCGTGGTCGGCATGGCTCTGGTGCTCATCGGCGCGTGCATCGTGTCCGGCCTGCTCACCCACATCCTGCTGGCCAAGGAGTGCCAGGGTAAAAAAACCCAGGCGGCGCCCGTCGCTCAGCAGGTGACCTATGACCTGGACGTGCCGATGAACAGCAGGTCAGTGAGCTGGGGCGGGGCCGGCAACCAACCGGTCCACGCCTACTACAGCAGCAACAGGGAGCTGGAACAAAACCTGGTCAGGTCGGATGAGCTGGAGATGAATCGGTATTTTTCTTCGGTGAAACCGTACGGGACGTTGGGAAATTGAGGTTTGTATAACAGTGTTTCTTTCAGACTTGTTTCTACCGGGGGGGGGGGGGGGGGCAGTATATGAACATTTTTGATGCGGAATGGCGAACACAAATTTTCGCGGGGGGTGGGGGGGGGGGGTGCGGACACTGGTAAAATTAGATATTTTCTATTTAAATCATATTTTGTTTGGGAGGGTGGGGGAAGGAATTGTCAGTAGCTGTGCCCCCACCCCACCCTGAAGAGATGCCTGAAGAAACACTGTTTGTATAACACTAGGGCGGTTAGGAGATTGATTTTTGTAAAGTATTAAGGACGTTAGGAAATTGCTTTTGTACAACTTAATAACGGGGTTCTTAAATTAATTTTGTGTGTGTAGAAAACAAGGGAGGCTAAGAAATTGATTTTTGTACAACACAAGGTAGGCTAGGAAATTGATATTTGTATAAAATAACGGAGCCTAGGAAATTGATTTTATATGAAACAACGAAGCCTCAGAAATTGACCAAGTCATATAAGTTTATAGCTTATGAAAGGGTAACCTAATACACCTTTTCTCAGGAGATTCCATTATTGTTACATGAACGGACACTTGGATTGAATACAAATCCAAAAATTATTAACGCTAAGCATTTTGGATTATTCTTGATACAATCGGGTTTGACCCATAATATTTCAGTGGAGAATGTGTGTATTGTTATATTTATGAAAGTTAAACTGAAATCCCTGTGCAACAAAAAAAAAAAAAAACTGACAGAGACGCAAATGAAAGATGAACTTAACAAAATACTATTTCATGTGATATCTTTACTTGTGATCATGTATTTAACTATTATTGATTATTCTTTCAAATGAGTGTTCTCAATTATTATGTTTATTTTATTGAGAGAATTATTTTGCAAAACACGTTTTTAAAAACAAATTGTGTTACTATTTTCTTACAAATAAATTTATTTTTTTGAAAACGAATTCATCTTTTCTTTAATTCCATATGAAACGTTTGAGTCTAGCCAGCAATAACTGTCAACTGATACATGTTATGGACAGTAAAGACGGCTGGGCTTAGTGCTGGCCACACTATTCCCTCCAAATGAACTCTGCTGCATTTGCCCAGTTAATCTACTGGTCTAATAGAAAACAATACAATCATACGGCACTCCCAATTATGTGCATAACAACGATTTCGCAGCCTTGATGTATTTATTTTACAGAGAAAACAATGCAGCCTGGGTTATTGTGGGGGGGGGGGGGGGGGAATGAGGGGGTTGGGGGAAGCCAATCTACCCCACCGTAGAAAACGCCATTGCGCCCCTTAAATGAATTTCCCCCTCCACCCCCATTACTAGATGTGACGGCGAATTTTTCGTGACTTAAAAACCACCTGTGGTTATGCCTGACACATCGCTTTCTTTCCTCAGCCACAAACAGCCTATCACGTGACAGGACACATTCACAGATAAACATATGTTGCACGTGCTTGTATCGTCTGATGATGTCACCGTGTGCTCACGCGCGCGCGTGTTAGCAGACGACAGAAATCAATTTTTGTTATACAAATCCTTATCGATGAAATACGCGCATATGAAATCAAATTGTTGAGCACACAGCTGATACTCGGCAATCAAACCGATATCTTTATAAGTCTCAACACAGCAATCTTCGACTATCTTCATAAGCCTCAACACAGCAATCTTCGACTATCTTCAAAAGCCTCAACACACCAATCTTCGACTATCTTCATAAGCCTCAACACAGCAATCTTCGACTATCTTAATAAGCCAGTTAGTCGGGCCTGTCTGACTAATGGTCAGTTGGAGTTTTTTTTTTGGCCTGCTTGCCCAATGGCCAGTTAGTCTGAGTTTGCCGTGGTGAGGTCTGTCTGGCGAACGTGAGACGGAAATGGTACTGCGTGGCCTAGAGGTAGAGGGCTAGACTGCTAACCTGAAAGTCTGGATTTCGAATACAGGTTCATGTCAGTAGAACGCCCCTGAGTCCACCCAGCTCTGATGGGTACCTAATTCACTTAAGGGAAAAATAAAGGGAGCTGGGCATAGTGCTGACCACACTATCCCTTCATATGCCGAGGTCACAGAAACAGGTGAACTCTTCTTCACTTGATCCATAGACCGCCAGGTTTGAAAGGGAATTTTTTTTTTACTTAACACATCAGCAAGTAGACTATACTGCAAGCATAAAGATTGAGATAATCTGATGATGTCCCATTTAGCCAACTGGTGAGGCATAGCGTAGATGGAAGAGTTAAACAGACATACTACAATAATGTTTGGCCCGTATAGAGCACTTCTGTCCAAGTTATGCCAGATCATAATGACAGCTGGATGAACTCAATGAAAAACTTACAACTGAAAATCAGGTTTGAACACTATTCAAAACCACGAACCGTTGTGATGATATTCACGATTAACATCAGGTTAAACAAATAGAACATGATATAACACAGTAAACAATAATGAAAAACATTAATTTCCGTATTAACTATGGTTAATTATGTGTATGTGTGTGTGCGTGCGTGCGCACGTGCGTACGTGCGTGCGTACGTCCGTCCGTGTGTGTGCGGGTAGATGGTGGTCTGGCTTTTTGTAACGATTGGTAAGACTACAATCAGGTTTCATAGTTTATTTGCCCATAACGGAAACAAGTCATATCACACGAACAACGATCCTAACCCTTAACACACTGAACCAGCCATATCGCAAATTTGAGCAGTCTTTCTTTCAGGCTTTTTTTTTTTCTCCAGAGGGGAAGGGGGGGGGGGGAGGGGCACTTGACATTTTTGAGGGGGCGGACTAAATTTTCCGGGAGGGCGGACACTGGTAAAAATATATATTTTATATATACATTCCATTTCATTCGGAAGAGATGCCTGGAAGAAACTCTGTTAAGTAGGACGGGATGGGGGGGGGGGGGGGGGGAAGGACACACACAGTCTCCGTACCCCCGGAAACGCTGACAACGTCCCCGGCATGTCTTCCGTACTTTGACCCGAGATTCCTCCGTCAGACAACCACGACAAGATACAGTAGTCAACAAATGTGCCCAGACAACAGCGCAGGTTCTAGAAGGTTGGGCGGCCATCCGTTGGCCTGAAACTGATACACCGGCAGTCACTGGCGACAAGAGGAGGCATCGAGTTGCCGGCCCTTGTGTCGCAGAATGCGGAAACGTCTCGTTTACAATACAAATAGACGGCAGCGTTGGTAGATAGAACATGCGAGGATTTGTTGCAGAACAAACAAAGATTTGTTGCAGAACACACACAGATTTGTTCGGTAAACATATGTTAAAACATAAAGGAGAGTTATAAAAAGATACGAGATACAAAACGCTTTAATCAACACAATTAACGATCTCATTTCATTCTTTTGAACAAGGGATACAGTCTTGGATGTGTAAGAAACTAATTTAAAATAAACCGGTAGTGATCTCCCCTAAACTTTCTCGAATATTCTTATATAAAACAACAGGGGATGGTAACTGGGGATATAGTTATGATTTTTAATCCATTTTAAATACTTAAACTTTTAAAAATAGAATCTCATAAAAAAAGAATTGCGCACCAAGCGAACGCCGAATAATTATTAGTACTTTATAAATTTACATGCGTTTTTTTGAAAAATCGGAAATAGCGTAAATTAGTACTTCCGGTCAACTGAAATTACTCAAAATTCGACAGAAGGTAGAGAATTAGATCTTTTACGTACATGTGAAATTTCATTTATCTATCTGAAATAGTACTCTAGTTATAGGCTTTTGAAAAATTCAAAGTAAAAAAAAGTACCACTTCCGGTTATCGGAAATCGCTCAAAAGTTGAGTACTCAAGTTATTGTTTACACACAGACAGACAGACAGACACACACACACACACACAGACATGCGGAAAAAATTGCACAATTATGTTTTTCCGTATCGGTGAGGTGTAAAACGTCGAGATTATAAATTGCACATTATTTATTTCATGAATCAATTGTTAAAATTAAGAAATAACAAATAGGGCCTATATATTATTTGATTCGCTGAATTCGTGATTAATTAAAGTTATGTTTGTGTGCATGTACATTTATAGACGTTCATCACCCCTTCACCGGAGGGGGGGGGGGCACTGTTATAACTATAAGTATATATTTTCTATATAAGTTCCATTTCTTTCGGGGGGGGGGGGGGGGGAGGGCGATAGACTCCCAGCGGAAGGCGGAGTAACCCCCCCCCCCCCCCCCCCCCGAAAAAATGCCTGGGAAAAAAACACTGCCCCCCCTTCCCCCCCCCCCCAATTGTAATTTTTTACTTAATGAACCTTATTGATAAATTAGTCTCAGATTAATAGATCTTAAGTAAGGATTGTAGAACATCAAGAGACTTTTCAAACAACACATGTAAATCAAGATGACAGCACATTCAGGCGTTTTAAGAAACACCATAACATTCAAGGGACACAATTCCATGTACATGCCACCACTTTCTGCGTCCCTTTAGTCCACTAAAATCTTTGTACTTCACGGCACGCGAGAGTTCCGCTATTGTCAACCCTCGGCCCGCGCTCGCCGTTCACGCTTACCGGTCGTCAAAGCAGCTGCAAGTCCCCTACTTGTAACTGGCCAGATGTGCTGACGTGCTGGGGTTGTTAAAAAATTTAAACCGGATTCTACAAACGAAAGAAAAAAAAAACTTGAGGGATTTAAGAGATTTATTTAAAAGTGGCGTTTGAATTCCAAAAAGTCTAAGCTGACGTACTTTGCCAGATTTAATTTTAGACTCCGCAAAACTGACTTTATAATAGACAAAGGGAAGGGTAATCCCTTTAATAGCAAATGTTAGTAAATCAAGCTCTATTATGTCCCTTTGTATTAGTCTAATTACCCAGTTAATTAGGGAACTTGTCAAGTTAACAAAGAGGACTGACTTAAATAGCGGGGCTGTTTAGCTACATGTGAATGTAATCAATTTACAGCTTACATTAAAAACAAAAGACAAATACAGATGTAAGCCTCGGTTGTAAGGAGACACATTCCATTATTTACGT